GCTTTAAGCTTTACTCATTGCTGAATGCTATTGTGCACAAACAGCTTGTGTAATCTAAATGGATAAGCATTACCAATAGAATGGGACAGTTTGAAGAGGACTCACAGGAGCTTAAGTTCACAATGCCCAGTGCCAAGCGTCTGCTAGAGGGGTATAAAAAAACCCCAGCATTGGCATTGGTGATGTGTTCTCAGGAGTGATGGAGCTCCATCCAGTACCTTTGGGGTTCAGAAATGCTCATCTTACATCAGTACCTGACCACACTAATGCTCTTGTAGATGCAATCAAATCCTCACAGCAATGATCCAACATCTAGTGTGAAAGAGGAGAGTAGAGGCTGTTACTGCAAAAAAAGAGAGACAAACTCCCTATTAATACCCTTCATTTCAGAAGAAATGGTGGGTAAGCAGGTGTCTACAAACTTTTATACACATGGTGTACATGTTAGGTTAGAGGTCAAGCAGTCTGTAAGGTTAGGATGTTGGGTCACTAAAGCAATACTGTAAGTACTGATATTTCAGATCCTGCTTACTTCAGAGAATCTATCTTTCCATATAAAAGTTGATACAAAGGTGATCAAATAAATATAATACGTACATACATATACATACATACATACATATACATACATCATCTAAACCGCTTACCTTTCTGGGTCGCGGTGGGGTGCTGGAGCCTATATAAATACAATAAATAAATATAAATATAAAAGATAGGACCTAATACACACATTATTCAGGTATATTGTGATGGGCCCAATATTAGCTATGATGTTATTTCTTGGGGAGCACAATTTTACAATAATTATTGTGATGAGCCTGTCACTCAAAATACATAGTAATACAGAAGGAAATGTATTTCTAATTCACCTTGACTTTAGTTGGCTAATCCAGTGGTGTCCAGTCTTATCTGGAAAGGGTGTGTGGTGGTGTGGCTGCAGGCTTTCATTCCAACAAAGCAGGAGCTCACACAATCAATTTATTAAGTACAATCAGGGTGTGTTCCTGCTTGTTTGGAGTGAAAACCTGCAGCCACGCCAGCCCTTTGTGGATAAGACTCGTCACCAGTGGATTAGACAGCTAAAGTCAATGTGAATAAGAAACACATTTCCTTCTGTATTACTGTGTATTTTTGAGTGAAACACAGTGAGGGAGGGTCTCTAAACTAGCCAAGCATTGTACCTGACAGTTAAGCATGCCTTGGAAGTGTATATGTGTATATACACTTGTGTATATGTCCAGTACTATTAAAATATAACGTATAAACCAAATGGGAATGTTTTGTTGATCATAAAAAAAAACATGACAAACAGGCAAAATTCCTCTACTTATAGGCCACCACTGTTGCACTTTGATTATGTCTTATGGTTGCAGTGGAGTGAGTCCTACGGAAAACAACACAATCAAAAAAATGTTTCTCTTGAGTGATGTCACACTCTAGCTAAAGCTAAAGAAAGGCTGAATGATATATTAGAGTTAAATGAGATATTTAGCTGGCTGTTCCTCTCTCTGTGGACTAGAGAGCGAGCAACCATTTGATGTGGCAACAAAAATGGCAGGCTAGTAATAAAAGGACTGTCTATTTGTAATAATAAAGTATTTTGCCTGAAATTTTAATGGTATTCGACACGTACATCATATTTGGGCCTACATTCATTGGAGGGGACATGCACCACTGCATTATTCACTGAAGGGGACATGCATCATTGCATTATACATTGGAGGGGACATGCGCCACTGCATTGTCAACCGCATTGTATTTATGCAATTTACCTCTTATTTTTGTACTGCACATTACTTTTTAGTGTTTGTAGTATATTTTTATTTTATTCTATTCTATTATTTATCTTTACTTTCTATTATGCATCCGTAAACACTATAAGACAATACTTTGCTCCTGTTCATTCTGCTTCTGTTTAGCTCTTTACTGTGTTTTGTACTGTTGCAGTAGAAGAATTCCCCTCTGGGATTAATAAAATGATCTGTCTGTCTGTCTGTCTGTCTTAACAGTAAGGGTTCCCTTTAATGAAAGGGGAGAGGTTAGAGCGGGAGTGGGCATTATGTGAGGTGATGAAAGCGAAAATACGTCATTTTAGAGGCAGACAAAAGTCATGTTTGAACTCACTGAAATGTCTGGTTCAGTTGCAGGTTGACTTCAGTACTAATGCACAGGTTTTCAGGTAAATTTTTACTGATGTCTGCATTTATATCATTTTCAAAGTATAAATCACACATATTTCAGTTTTCACGTTCACAAGAAGTGTATTACTTGGCAGCCAATCAGTGGTATCGCCCATGTCTATTAATCTCCTTTCGACTTCTGACCTTGACAATCTGCAACGTCTGAATGAAGCATCATTTCACAGTGTTAAAAGATGGCTGTAAAGTCCAACCTCATCAGATCTCTGTGATTATTTTCGACTCACTTGAAGACTGTATTGTGTCTAAAACAAGTTCAACTTTCTCATATTTTGCTGCGGTGTCTCAGTCTGTCCTGGCTATATTTTTGCGTGGTGAACATGACTAATGGGTTTCTGTTTAAAGCCTGTAACCATGTCACCCTGCAGGAACATTATATTGCATTGTTCCTGTAAGGTCATTACACAGACATTTCTCACTGTTGCTTTGCTATATGTTGAATGTCACGTAAACATCTGATTACATCTCTTGAAAAGTGAAACGATCTCATGCTTACATGACAGTTTTGCCAAATTGTAGGCATAAATGACCCTCACGCTTTTGACTCATCTGTCCCAGTTCTCACAAATAATCTCTCTTTTCTTTTCAGACATGTGTTTATGTGATATGATCAAACAAAAAGGTAAATAGAAGAGTTTGATGTTCTATGGAAGCATTGTTAAAATTTCAAAACACTATTCCTTCCCTTGTTCAAGTCATTGTTTTTGTGATGCCACAAAATTCAACATATTTACATTCGTACACCTATTCAGCCTACAGCAGTTTAGCTTTGTGCCACTATGTTGAAGTTATAAAGACTGGACTGCTTTTTGAATGAGGCATGACATTAAGCAGCCAATTAGAACAGACATCATTTACATATATCAAGTCTTCAAAGCACAGTAACAACACATTCTGGGATAAAGAGTTGTTGGAGCTCATGTACAAATAAATCGTAACTGTTTTTGGTGCATATTTTAACATATACGTTAGAAATGATCTCATGCTTACATGACAGTTTTGCTTGATCTGTCTATGCAAGTATAAATCAAATGACCCTCATCCTTTTGACATATCTGACCAAGTTATCGTAAATAATCACACCTCTTTTCAGACATATGTTTGTGTGATACATTTAGACAAAACAGGGCAGGATACTCGTGTAGGTCTAAACTTGGCTTGTTGAACCGTTGCCAAGGCTGTAAAGTATGCTGCAGAACAGGTAGAATTAGTTAATAAGTCTAGGAGGGTGTGTTCTGGTTCCGTTGACAAACAGGTGTAAAGAGGCTATAACCTAGACATGAAACGAATGTAGGGAATGCAGTGACATAATGTAGGCTTGGTTCGTCAAAACTATATACATTCCAGACTTGTAGACATAGGTGTGCTTTTTAAGGAAAGGTTGGCCAGTTTTTCGTAAAATATCTTTTGAACACTGTCCATGCAACATGTGGACAGTGTACCAACTAAGCATTGAGATTTAAAGTCATTCAGAGTGGTTTGATGTGAAATGGTGCATTGTAGAGAATGTGTTATAATGGGCTTGTGATGTCTACAATGCAAACAGTGCCAACACAAGCTTTACATGTAATGCTGAATATGGTACAACAGTGGAAAATCTGAAAACAATAAGTTTTCTTTAGGGACTATTTTTGGACTATAATTTTAATTGTGCGTGGATTAAAAAATGCTTTAGACCAAAGCCTTCTCACAAAACTTTAAAAACTGTGTCTCAGCCATCAGGCAGTGTATTTGTAACCAGTTCATGTAATACATTTCTAAAGTAATGTGGTTTCTCTGGAACAGAGCATTTCAGAATGACCAGGTTTACATGTTATGCAGACATTTTGAAAAGTCTATGGAATTCTCCCTTAAGTAAATGCTTAAACTTGGAGAGACTGTAGTGTATAACTTTTGGCAAAATATCTATGTTGAAAAGTGTGTCATTCATTTCAAATATTTTATTTTGTATATGTGTGAAAGGTCACACTGTTATGACAGATTGTTGACAGGCTTTTTTGTGTGTTTAAGCCAGGTGTGTCCAAAGTCCGGCCCCAGGGCCAAATGTGGCTCACAGAGATTTTAACTGGCTCCTGCTTCAGTTTTACAGCACATTTTAAGCGGCCCGCCAGCATGTTGCAGTTCTTCCTTTCACCTGATGGTGGCAGCTGACCGGAGCTGCAGCTTCATTTACTGAACATTTTGAACTACAGACATAAAGCTCAATCTTAACACTGAGAACTGGCGATCTTGGCGAGACGGAAAACTTCTTATAAGAGCAAATTCTGTAATATTGTGATATTTTGAAAACCTAATATTTTGAATCATTTGTGAATAATAGTTCAGCCCTCAGGGATTCTGTCACAGTACGATCTGGCCCTCTTTAAAAAAAAGTTTGGACACTCCTGGTTTAAGCATTAGCATAATAGTTTCCAACCTGCTTGTTTCAATTAGCTACATCATCATAGTGCAGCTTGGCTGTGTAGCACTTTAATATGGAAAATAGACATTTCTCATTCTGATGAATTGGATTTTTGCCAGCATTGTGACAAACTTTGGCCAACAACCTTGCAACAGAAGCTATGAAAAAACAGCACGTTGACCGGTCTCAAGTAAGCATGTTTAACAGCTTGAAAACTCTTTCAACCTGAACGAGAACGCGCATTTAAAGAAGTCTTCTGAAGAACCCAATCCATATTCTGCTGATTTCCGTGGCCATTCGGAGGTTGCTCTGGGACCTGCAGCCTAAATCCAAACACCTAACAGCACAGGAACAACAGAATGTTTGTAATAAAACAGACTTGTGCTTGAATCAAATATTAAGTCGGAAATAGTTTTATTCAATCTCTTTGTAAATTTCATTCACAGCAGAAGCATAAGTAACATCAAAGACAGCAGATCATACATAAGTTACAGGGGTTACAAAGGCAAAGTGTAAGTGTGTGCATGTGTGTGTCAATGGGTTTTCGAGGTTCACAACACCATTCCTCCACCCATTATCTCCAACCTCTGTAGGATAAAAAAGAGAAAACAACTTCAGACACAAAAGCAAGAAAATCTTGACCTTTTGATCAGAGCTTCATCAATATGCTGAGGCCTACAGGCACACGCACTCTGCACTCTTTGCACCATACCTGTGGTGGTTCAATGAAGGCGAGCCAATCTGATGAGTGTGTTGGTAGAAGACCCATCGATTGACACTTGTAGACTGCCAGTGCGGAGCCAAGTAGGTTGCCGATGAGGTAGACCAAGCCCTGGAGCCACTGCTGACTGGAGCTCTCCAGCAGTTTAAAGGCTGAGAAAAGGACATAGTATTAAAAACACTACATAGAAGTGGTACCTCTGGACAGTTATGCTCACTGAGAATCATTGGAACCATATAAGCTCCAAGAGAATCGCAATTAGCAGGGCTTTCTATCATCACTACTTCTGGATATTGCCCTTTGATGCAGACCTTAGACCTAAATGAACTTTAAATGTAATATGTGGTTTAATGTTTCCATAAGGCATAGAATTAGACCTGGGCAATATCGAAACACAATTAGCACAATATTTTCTAATTTAAAAAATATCATGATTACAAATATATCGCAGACTGCAAGTGATTTCCAAAGCCATGTTTACCTGCTACACATATTAAAGAACAATGTGTTTACCATCAGTACAGCAGAGTTCTCATAATTAATTAACTAACCACCGGGACACGTAAGCTGTATGGACAACGTTGCAAACACGCAGCAGAGACGATGGGGAATTTACTCTGCCGTAGCCTTTTAATAGCACCACTATAACTCAGTAAACAGTAGAAGTGAATAAACCAATGTGTACGTATTATTAATATTATTATTACCTCTTTTCTGATCCCGTTTCCCTGCCGTAGATGGGGATCAAAAGAGTTTAGAGCTAGCTGCTCTACGGTAACACCCACTCACTTTAGCTCTGTTGTTTTACTGCAGTGAGTCTCACTAAAGCAAGCCGAAGTTCCAGAGCACTTCAGAATGTATTTTCGCTTCCATGCACTCAAGCCCAACGTGAAGTAAAATAAGGTGAAGAGTCATGGGGCAAGTATGAGTAGCATTACTGTGCATAGCAGCCAGGACTAACAGTCAGCTTCTTAACAAACTCTCTCTTTCACTCTCTCTGACAGAAAAAAACTCACTATTGGACTGTTAAAGTTCTCTTTCTAATACAGCGATTATTGCCTTTTACATATCTCCATCACTGACGATGTCTGGTTACAGTGCCCAGGACTACATAGAATAAACCCTTCCTAATGAACTAACTCCAATAAGGAGGGTCTACTCTAATTATTCTGCTACACAGAACATTCAAACCTACTTACAGAATGGATTTTACAGAATAGATTGTATTATTTTCTGTTTTTTAGTATAAATGTGAAGCCAAAAACTATGACATACCACATTATGCAATAATGAGAAAGATCCTTCAAAGTACACTCATGCACACTCTGCACACTCATGGCATTCTTAGAACAGGTTTTATGAGCAGTTCTTTGGATGCCTTTCTAAAAGGCTTAAGTATTTTGAAAATTAGTCTTAGGAAATAAACATTTAAGCAAGTCTCCAAAGTGGACATTTTGACTGGCACTACATTTCTGGTGTGAAAGCCTGTGGTTTTGAGGGGCACTTGCTATTTGCTATTCTGTTCAGGTGCCCACTGGCTAATATAACCTGCTTGTGTAAATCTAGGCCATTAGTGTCCTTGGTTTGAGGCATAGCTAAAATAACCCTCAGGTGCAAAGAAAGTAGAGTCAGGTTTTACTCACTGGCAGACATTGACATGAGTGCCTGAATGGGCCTCCAGGCCATCATACACACCATCATGATGGGGAAGATGGAAATGGTGTTACCAGACATGTACATGATGAATAGATTCATAGGAATCTGTTTCAGGGGACCAAGAGCTATGTCCCAGCATCTCTACAAAAAGGAAGAGGGAGAACACAATGACATACATCCTTCTGCACATTTACATGTTATCAGCATGACTAATGATTACCAATGCCAGCAATTATTACAAAAGGGCTTTGAAGGTTAAATCATGTGAATAATGCTATATTTAATAAGGACAAACTGAGCATGCTGTGAGAACTTTTGTCCACCTGTATTATGTAAACATTAGTTGCAACTCACTGTATATTATGCATCATCTTCATGTTTACTGTTTAAACATTAGACAACAAATGGTACACGCTCCTTAACCAAATAAACAGACAGAAAACCCTAATTGTCAAAGACTGTGCTTTATTTTTATATTGTTACTATCATTATCATCATTATTATTTTTTACTACTACTATTACTACAACTGATGGCATTAGTGTTGATGTGTTTTATTTTCAAAACTTCAAATGTACTTTCAAATTTCTTTCTGTAAAAGTTGGACTCTGGGTGAAAAGGCTCTGTCGCCCCCCTGTGGCACTTTCAGAAATTTACTGATACTGATGTACTGATGTTTTTTGTTTACAACTGCTAAAACACATTTTCTGAAACTGTATATGATTTTTTAAAACCCCTAAACTCAAATCGAAAAAATCTAAATAAATTCACAAAATGCATCTTTTCCTGATAAAGGAAATTATTGAGTCAAAAGCGTGTTAACTTTGCTTATAATGAAACACACACCAACTCATCGAAATCCTCACACTACAGGTTAGAAATTACACACTAGTGTAACTTCAAAACACTGTCATCACAGATGCCACTGAATTGGTAACAACCTCACAAGGAAATAAATACGCATGCAAGTAAAATCTTTAAAAGAGTAAAAATTGAGAAAAATATAAACAGGTAACTTTTATTCATGGAGATGCCATGTATTTGTAGGAAAAAGTAAAAATCAAAAGCATATATGTTCTATCGAAAAACAAATTTTATAAAGAAATATATTTAGAAATATTTGGATTTATTGTGCCACAGCATTCCAACTGTAGGCTGCGGTAGACCAAATGGAACCCTATCTATAGTGAACTATTCCTGGACTTGTGAAAAGACAATGCAAGACCACCAAAAGAGAATATTTTAGATTCTCACCTGCACTGACGCAGTGACATACTGGAATATACAAGAGCAAAAAATCCAGAAACACAGAGATGCAAATGATCTGTTTTCCTCTCTGATCATCCTGGCTATTGAAGCAGTTTAGACACTTTGTCCAGCTTCTATCACTCTCATACGATGATCAAGACCATGGTTGAACATGTATCCCATCTGTTAAACAGTGTCTTCCTGTGATCATCATCTTTTTATCTTCCTGGACGACGTCTTCTACCCTGCAAGTTTCCTCTGGTTCTTGTTTGAGCCTCATTTTCCATTCTATCAGTACCATTTTTTGTATTTTGAAACTGCAGTACATAGTTTTCTCAGTATTTAATTGCACCTTCAGAAAAATGCCAACAGTTAAGCTTACAGGTGTGTGAACCACAACAACTATGTGTTACCTGTGTTTGATTATAGTAAGTGGAGTTTTGTGTATTTAATGGCAGAGTATGAAGCTAACTGTACTCTGAAACACACCTTGTGTTTACAGTTACACAAAAAGAGTTTGGGAGATTTGCAGGTTGTGTGTATAATGAGATTATCGCCTCAGATTTTGGCAAAAGAATTTTCCTTTTACTTATTGAGAGAAAATGTATGGGAAATTGAGTTTGGAGCATCAGTTTTTGTGTGTTAGTGATTGAAAACTTTGCTCATCGTCCCAGTCCTAATCTTGTTATTATTCTTATTATTATTATTATCGTAGTAATTACTCCTACCATTAACATGCAACATTTTCTACCATTTTGGTCTGCACTCCTCTCATTCACTATGGGAATCTTACTTTCTCCACCAGGTTGCGGTCGGTTTCCTGCACGCTGGTGTCGGGCACTGGTTTGTCCGAGTATCCCACAGGGTACATAACATCTCCCTCCTTACTCTGCCTGTCCCCTCGGCTCCTGCACACAGGAAGGAATCACCCCTGGTTAAACATTCAAACAAGCAGGATGGACAATATGGTGACAGAACAACGTTAGAGGGATGCATCGATACCAGTTTTTTCAGATCGAGTACGAGTAAATTTTTTTTTAGTACTCGTTGATACCATACCGAGAAACCATATTTAGAATTGGGTAGTTGTTCGGGTAAATGAGTGCAATGTACTCTAAAAATTAAGTCATTAAAGTCTAGCCGATTTTAAATGAAGTGCTTTAGCTAGATGCGCTACATTAAAACCTTGGACTAAGTAGTGCTGCGGTGGAGAAGAACGGACGGGAAAGTTGTAAGTAAAGTACAAGTCATAGTTTTGCTCCTCGCCTTTTCCTTTCAACAAGTTTCTGGAGCTCAGTGACAGCTGGAATCACATGTGAGGCTAATACACCCAATTAACTTATGTTTCGAGTTTTATGTCTTGTTGGGAGTATTTTATTGTTGAGCTGTAGCTAAATGTCCTCTAAGGCCAAGCATACACTGCGCTCTGCCTGGACAAGCACCCTACACTATACCAATAAGAGTCCTTGGGCAAAACTCCTAACACTACCTTCACCTACCTGTGTAAAATGGTCAAACTGTAAGTCGCTCTGGATAAGAGCATCTGTCAAATGCCGTAAATGTAAATGTAAGCTAAAAGAAGGTGGTGATGTATATAGTAGTGTATACTATATGGTCTCTACAGTCTATTTTACAAATAATATATAAAAAAAAAAAAATTGATTATACCACACTTTTGTGTTCAGTCAAACACCGTAAACTCAGTATAGAAAGACTTTGGTAGCAAATGTCGACTGTTTTCTCCTCCTTTATTTAGTTGTCCTGTGTGTCTCCACTTGTACCTGGGAAGCGGTTGAGATTGTGTTTGTGTTTAAGAACAAGATAACATCACACAGCGTATTCCTGGCGAGAATCCGCCATGGCAGAATGTTTACAGTGACTGACAGCCTTCAGTAATACTTCTCTGTGTGAGCGGCGCCTGTTTCACGGCTTTTGTTCATTAGCGCAGCAGCTACACTTGGCTTATGTCGCAGCTGGTATTGGCCAGTTTTTATGAGTACAAGTAAATGTACGCGGTATCAGACTGATACCCAATACCTGTATCAGTATCAATGTATCCCTGCAATATTGTCACAATTACATGATGCTCTACTTAGCATGTCCTAGATACTGGCATGACTCGAAAAATGACCATCTGCATGCACCATTTGAGAACCTACAATGCTGGGAGTCCATGAGAGTGTAATCGTAATAATCATGATGCAGTAAAATGCTTAACAAAACTATATATTGTATTAACACTTTTTAATAGCTTTTTAAAATGCGGCATTTTTGCTTTATTGTGTCTGTTCCAGTCCATCGAACTCCAGATAATAATAATAATAATAAATGTGATAACTGTGTAATAATAAATACAGTGTAATAAACTGACATTTTTACCCATCCAGCTCTGAGAGCAGAGTTCCTCCAAATGTGGCCATTAAAGCTTGTAGCGGGAGGTAAATACACTTACCTCAACATATACCTGTGCTATACTGATCCAAGTGTGGGTGAGTTACATGCATTTGCAATTGTATGACAAAAACAATTACACCGTGCTTACCTGGTATTGCCCAAACTCAGCTCCAGGGCCCATTTCATCCTCTTGGGTCCTCCCGCACCCCTTGTGGACAGAGCTCCTCCTTGCCCCCCTGGTGATGACATGATGCTGCGCTGCTCGCCAAATGCTAATTAACCTAATGAACAAACAAAAACAAACAAACAGAGACAAGGTTTCAAGATATTTGACGTGGCTAATCCCACACACCTGAAGTTATGTCAGGATTGTTGCTGTAATGCAAGTGTTTTTTTTAAGAATCTCACAGCAAATTCATACAACTACCATAACTTACTACAGAGTTCTACACGATTATTATAGATTACTACAACAATGTTCTAGAGGAAAATTACATGGAGATAAAAATAGTATAGTTAATAATAGAAGTATTAAAGAGTACCATAGAAATATTACAGATTATTTTAGTATCAATATAATTCTCTCTTTAATAAATAACTTAATATCCTGCTTTGTGAAATCCCACCTATCAGTTATTTGTCGATGTAAACAATAAAGCAAGCGTCAACATGGAAACTAGGGATGCACATGGGAACTGTGGGCTGATGCACATATTTAATACTTTTCGTACAAATATCTGCTGATGCCACTACATAAACGTTACTTTATAAAAAGCATAAATAGGGATGAAACCAACTCGATTAGCGTAACAGAGAAACGGAAGACATTTTTGTAGAATAACACTCTTCTTTTTTTATTTAGCAAAGAAAATGGCTCTATACAGAACCACGAACACTCAACGAACTATTTGCATGATTAATGGGTTCTTTCTTTGCATCGTGAAAGGGTTCTTCTTCAGATGATAGAGGATGTGCTGCAGAAGGTTCTATATAGAAACTTTTTGAAAAGGGTTCCACTATTGTTACAAGCCAAAGAACCCTGGTACTATATAGAACCCTTTTGATGAAACTCGATTAGCTTTACAGAGGAATGTAACTCGAGGTGGGTAATCCAGGTCCAAAAAGTAAAATCCCTCCCCAGGATTTTGTTCCAACTGCTTGACTTCTCTATTTTGCTCAAACCAGCAGCAAAGGTGTTCAAGGCAGTTGGAACAAAATCCTGGGGAGGGTTTTTACTTTTTGGACCTGGATTACCCACCTCTAAATGTAACACTTTTTTGTAGGGTTACACCTTAAAAAGACAGTATAAATGCGGTTAATTTCATAAAGTGTTGACATTTTAGTGCAGCAGCCCAGCATCACCTGAAGGTTAAGCTTTGCCAGAGCACAACAGCTAAATCAAATCTACACATCTGTCCAACGTCGGTTTGTTTCTGTTAGCAAAAATCTGCCGATACTGAAAAGGTTCCCATGCAATCCTGCTGCACCATTTAAGGTGGAACGGGACAATTCGAACAAGAAGCTGGAGAACAGGAACCTAACTTGAGCTTCGTGACACGTTAGCGTTACTGAAGTTACCTAAACAGCGTCTCCTCTGTATATATTTTCTGTGTTATACGATATAATGTACATAAAACTGGAAAAGGGTCTCTAACATTGGCCTAACGTTACTATTATTGCACCAACACGCACATTAGCATTAGCTAGCTAGGTTAGCGTTAACGTCAGAGTTTGTTTACAAAGGCAACGACGAACAGCCTCACCGTCAGATGGCTACAGCAGCTACAGAAGGACCTTCCCCTCTTTCTCTCTGCGGCTCCAACAACAGCCTGGCTGAGCGGAATATTAAATTAAAATGAGAGAACCGTGTATGACAGCTTTAACACTCTTCCCCTCCGAGCGTTATCGGGCCGCTGATGGTGAAGCTGTAGCAGGGCTGTACTGGACAGTCACAGCGCCACCTGTTGGACTGTAGGCTCATCTGTGTCCACTATGTTCTTCTTCCTCTCCTGAGTTAGGCTGAGAGGCACTGCTGTGGTGTGTTGCCGCCCCTCACTGTTTAGAGATGGTACTACCATGAGAGAACTTGTAGAGAGCCGGTTTATGAGGAGCCTGGCCACTTCCTATTTCCCCCATTATATTAAAAACAGGACTGCTAAACAGCAGAGGGCCCCCGCGAGGGAGTCCTCAATGAATGGGAGTAAATGGAGCTCAACGGCTAAAAACAAAAAGTTAAAATAGTTTCTAATCACTCGCCCAGAACTTTCCTTTAATTTAAAAAAAAAAGTAGAAGAATGTATTTCACGAATAAAAAAAGCAATCGAAAGAAAACGAACCTGTATGTTTCCTTTTTTATACAGCATTTTGGGCAGCAGGACGCTGGCATTAACTGGCTTTTATAAAAGCATATATAAACTTTATAAGCTGTGCTGATAACATTTTCTGATAAGGTGATTTAGGCTATCAAAATATCATACATGCAGTTTTGCTGCTGGTAGCATTTTCCTACACGATTATTTGGGCTATCCAAATCTCACATGTGCACTTTTATAAAGAGTGCTGATTAAAAGTACACGCTACGGTGGGAAATTTCAACAAGGTCACACAATTCATCGCAACACCGAAAACAGGCTCTTCACATCCAAGAAAAGATGAGTTATAGGAAGAGGAAAAGCACAGCTTTGTGCTCTGGAGGCCAGCAAGGCTCAACATTTTGCCTTACCATTTTGGATTTTGGCTTTTTAGGGGGTTAAATTTAAAAACATGTTTTAATTGCTTTTGAATGCTGGTCTGCATTCAATGTCAGTTAGAACAGAACGCTTCCCTTTCACTACTATCTCAGGCCTCGCCTTATTTTCTTGGCAGTGTTTCCCATACATATGTATAGAATGTAAAGCTCCAGATATGGTGGAATACACCTACTGAAGGCGTTGTTAGGGAAATCTTGGATTTTTTCCATCTTTCTCCCCAGTTTCCAATCCAATTTTACACACTAGCTAGAACCAATTACACAATACTATCAGTGCTAGGAGGACAAAAGCTAGCACAGGCTTCCTCTCATTCATGAAAAGCATCACCACATCTTTTGGAACTGCTGCTAACACAATGCACATATAGGACAGCCTGTCCACTTGACGGCCATCTTGTCAACACCCTCGGGCAGTTATTTCCAGCCATACAAGACCAGGCACTGAAACTAAAAGCCACAGTAACGTTTAAAAAAAAAACATTTGAAATCACTGATAAAATCTGCCCAAAAACAGCATAAATACTTTGTACCATTTGGCTCAAATAACATACAAAAACACAATTTTTAGTTTGATCTGGCTACTGCGCATGTGCGTACGTCCATAACGAGGGGGAGCTTTTCCCGCTTGTGTCTCAAACAGCAAGCTGATTGGCCCATTTTATTAAAGAGTGAGACTTTCCCCATAAACGTTCCCCTCTTAAAATGTCTCTGGCTTAGAGCTCATGGGCCAAAAGCTCTGCGTATAACCATATAGTTTATACTGAATGTAGCCTATTGAAATGAAATTCACTTGTATGTTTGTCAAGGAAATTACATCTATTAAGCGAATATCCTGAGAGCTGCCCGGAAACGGGGTGCTGCGGATAACACTGTCCTTCTTGACGGCTCTCTTCACAGCTCCTACCCAACTGCAACCATATAGTCTCAAGCAAGCCCAATGCATTCATACCAACTCTGTACATATTTACAGCTGCAGCACCCTGCACCAGGTTAGCGCTAGCACTGAAAGTCACTATGCACACAAAAATAGGGCCCATGACCTTATGCCCTTTGATCTGTTGAGTAAAACATTTCAACAATATCTACAGTTTGAGCTGTTATGAGACACTGTTCATTTTGTGTTTATGGGTTAAGGTGGAGGTGACAGTGTGTCTTCTTCTTCTGTGTGATGTACAGTTACTGGGTGGTTTTTGCTCAGTGGTCTGTTTTCCTCTCAGTGGTCTGTTGCTTTAGTAAAAAGTATACTTCGAGTTCATCTCACACATGCTCTCGCAATGTAGTACTGTTCTTTCTCTTCTTAAAAAGAGTAAGAAGGCAATAAGATTTCAGCCAGCACCCAGCTATATCAGATTCCAGTATCAGGGAGATGATTTCAGTCTAAAAAGATGTAGACAATTGGACTTAGAGCTTTATCATGGTGCAGTACGCAATGTGTAAATAAGAAGTTATTGCATTTGCACTTAATTGATAGGACTAGGCTGTGCAGTATATTGGGTTCTATGTGATATAAAATTAGATTGCATCCCAGAATAATGTGACTTGATTGTGCAGTATGCTATGTTATATACAAAAGTTTTGGAACCCCCAGACAAATTACAGTTTTTGTTGATTTTGTGAAAATAAGTTACACATCCTCTACAGAGAACATACTTCTGGACATTTTGATACATATTTACTGCATATTGACTGAATTTAAAATGGTGGGATAAAATTAAACCAAAAAAGTTATGCCACATTATATATTTTATGTTTTCTTTTTTTCCAAAATTCAGCAAATAAGTAGACATTGTGAAGAAAAATGTATTAAATAATATTTAAGTATGTAGAGGATATGTTGTCTTATTTTCACTTAAGAAAACATTTCAATGGACCAGGGGTAGGTTTGTTTCTTTGTTTGTTTTCATTCTTGAATTCCTTATAATGTTAGCCTCATCACACATTACCTTCTCATGTAGATATTCATATACTTGCAAATGGCAAATAATAAAATGAAGTACACAATAAAAAAATAAAAATAAAAAAAAATATATATATATATATGTATATATATATATATATTAAAAATATATATATATAGGCTTTTATTGTCATTCCATCTATGTACAAGTACACAGTGGAGTGAAATTATGTTCCTTCAAGGAACAAGGTGCAACATGGGACAAAACAGACAGTACAAAGTGCAAACATGCAGACATAAGTGTGCAAAAAAATGAAACTAGAAACAATACAATAAATACTATAAATAAAACAGACATTAGACACAGTAAACAGACAGGACAGTGCAGCACAGATACAGCACTCATTTCTGAACATGATATATATATATATATATATATATATATATATATATTTATTCAGTTTATTTAGTATATATATATATGTATATATATATATATATATATATATATATATATATATATATATATATACTAAATAAACTCAATAAATAAAAACATAGTGACTCTGCCCTTACCCACACATTACATTAATCACATTAACATAAATATTCCTCATTATTATATGATTATATGATATTATATGATTACAAAACAACAGCACCATTATTTATTAGTCCATTTTTAACAAAAAAACTAAAAAAACTATAAAAGATACTGACGTTGCAGAAGATAATTAGATCTTCTGCCTCATAACTCTAGAAGCTGGAATGTGTGTAAATTAACCTGATCCATCTACCACAGTGTGTATTGTTCCAGATCCCCTCATTTAATACATTTCAGCCTTTTCTCCTCATCTACATATGATTTTATCCAACGTCTTTCATGATGAAACAGACAGTTTGGAACAGTCTGACATGCTGTCAACTCTCGCTTGCACATATTTTAAAATACAAGAACTGAAATAGTGCAGCCCCTGAAAGTGCCTGTATCATGCATTCGTTTGGTGGTTTGTGCTCGGTGCGGTAACTGCTTTCCTTTCAGTGGTCTACTGCTTCAGTTAGCATGCTAAAAAAACTTTGACCTCATGGTACAAGACCTCAGCTTTTTGCAACCAGTAATCTGTACATATCCTATTTATTAGTGGATTATGAGCACTGGGCTACTGAATTATGGTAATTTATTAATTGTAAAACAACTGAAATGTAAAAGAGTGTAGTGTCCACAGAAAGATTTCCAATCTGAAGTTGATGGTGGCTCAAAAATTCTTCCTCAACTCTTATGGCCTGTCATGTTTCAAACCTCTGAATGTTCCCTTATGCATCTGGTGGTGTGCTTTGTCAAAGTCTGGGTTATTAATAGCAGAACTTACTTCTACCACAGTCTTTTCAAAGTCTTTTCACAGCAGAGAACGTGACAGGCTTTGCTTTCTGCACGTCCATCAATAGAACAAGTTTGCTCGTCCATTAAAAGAACAACTCAGAGCAACAACATTTGTTGGGCCATTCCACAACGTTATGCATCCCTTAACTTTTTAAGTTTGTCAGCCCTTACAGAATGTAGCCATTATTCCACTTGTTGAAAGCCATTAGACTTTTTTTTAATACAAAGCCCATTTCTGGGAAAGTTGGGACATTATGTAAAATGCAATAAAGTCAAGAATCTGTGATTTGTTAAACTTCTTGAACCTTCATAGAATTGACAAAGGTACAAAGAAAATTTCCAATTTCCAATCTTGTCACTGACCAACTTACTTGTCTTTTGTAACTATGAACACATTTAGAATTTGGTGCCTGTAACACATTGAAAAAAAAATATAAACCTAAATTTATTTTTGTTATATGTGGAAATTTGATAAATGAATACATCATCCACATTAATTTGGTGATTGGTCCCTTTAAAAACAAAGTTTAAAAAAATGGGGAAGCAAATTGACTAATTTTGTCTTAGGTATTCAGCTCAAACTGATAGATTTTTTTCTATCATAAACTGCTTTACTGCATCTGCCCTCTTCCTGTTCCTCTTGTCATTTGAGGGTGTGATGGTCTTATTTCTTTTCTGTTTTTTCAGAAGGACATTTCACTCTTTGAGAGTAACACTGTAAGGAGCAGCTCTAAGAGGTAAGAGGTACATTATGTGTAATTTGACACAGAGATAAATGAACTTAGAAAGTAATGTTTATCGTTTGCAGTTCTTGTTATTGTTTTGATATTATTGTGCTCGGGAACATGTTACAAGCTACTAAGGAATTATTAAAGGATTTTTTTCATTTGGACTTGTGTATAAGTAGTTATTTGGGCTGGTAGCTATTGCACGCTAGCAGAGAGAGGGGGCACAACCTAACATTTTGCTTTTTGCGAACTACTTTTAAAAAATATTTGAGCAGGATTAATAATTTAATACAAGCTACATGCTTCTCTCTGCTACAGATACAAATTAAAAGTAGTTTCAAGCACCAGCAGTCTGTAAACAACTCAACCAAAAAGCCACATGAGTGCAAATGTTACAGCCTACCCCACAGGTAGGTACTGTAACAGACTGAGGGGCTCACATTAACAGGTGCTAGAAAAGCCAGTTAATTGGAGCAAACACTATTAATTCAATACTATTTCATGTTGTTTGCCTATCCAAGTGGTCATTGGACAGAAAACACCCTGGACAGGCTGCCACACATTCACACTCAGGGGCAATTTAGCATGTCCAATTAGCCTGACTGCATGTCTTTGGACTGTGGGAGGAAACCAGAGCACCACGCAGACACGGGGAGAACATGCAAACTCCACACAGAAAAGACCCTGGTCGCCTGGCCGGGAATCAAACCCAGGCCCTTCTTGCTGTGAGGCGACAGCGCTGCCCAAAAGCATGTTCTACCTTAATCTGTTTAACAATATAAAATAGCCAATTAGCATATTTCCCCCCATTAGGTCATTCCCTCCACTCTCCTGTATTATTTTTAAATTGTGACCACACCAGTATTTTACATTAGCTAGAATCTAAGTATAAAGAAGCATTTCACAAGCACAGACCATGCCTGAAACAGCAAAGCAGAAGAGTTGTATCATCAAGATGTTTTTGGCATCAAGATGTTTTTGGCAAATGTAGGTTGAGCCTTTGTGTTTTTTTTGGTCAGCAGTGGTTGTTAAGTGTGTACATTGACATTAACAGAGGCAAATGAGGCCTGCAGTTCTTTAGATGTTCACCTGGGTTCTTTTGTGACCTCCTGGATGAGTGGTCAATGCGCTCTTGATGAAATTTTGGTAGGCTGGCCAGTCCTGGGGAGGTTCACCACTGTTCCAAGCTTTCTCCATTTGTGAACAATAGCTCTCACTGTGGTTCACTGGAGTCCCAGAGCCTTAGAAATGGCTTTGTGACCCTTTACAGATTGGTAAATTTCAGTGACTTTGTTTCACGTCTGTATTATAATCTCTTTAGAATGTGGCATCATGTGCTGCTTTTTGAGACCTTCTAGCTGCTTCACATTGCAAGACAGGTTCTATTTAAGTGATGTTTAGATTCAACAGGTCCGGCAGTAATCATGTCTTGGTGTGGCTAATAAAATTCAACCCAATGGTCAACTGAATTGGGTTAACCGGTTGATTTAGTAGCTAAGGGGGCAACTTCAACTGGTAGGGCTGAACATTCATTCCTTCAATAAATGAAATCATCATTTTATCTTTGTCTAATTTTAAAAGTAGTCTGATGATCTGAACCATTCAAGTGTGGCAAACATGCAAAATATAAAAGAAATTGGAAAGGGGCAAATACTTTTTTACAGCACTGTACATGTTTCTAACGGATGGTGACTTGTTACGTTGTTCTTTTATTGATGACTTTAACACTTCTTGTTTTCGGCGCACATAGGTGGTGAATTGTGTTTAGTGCCATAGCCGCCTCTGCTCTCTGCAGTCAGCCCATCATTTCTGTAAGTAGTCCAAAGACCCTGACACAGTCTTTGTAATGTTAAACAGATTATTGCTGCCAAATGAATCATTTCTAACCTACTATTCCTATTACAGGACAAAGAACTCAAAAACTAATTCAAGTGAGTAAGACAATGGCATATACTCCCAGCTATGATTATAGTTATCATCAGACTGATGTTGCCCATGAATTTGCTTATGTTCAGCCTGATTTTGACTATAATCATGCTAAAGCAGAACATTTGCTTGGTGCGATCAGACTCGGCTTCTTCTTCATTGCTGGCGAGTGTGTTGGTCTTCCAGCTCTAGTTTGGGCTCTGCGTGCTCTGTATCGTCATCATAAGAGTGGAGGCCGAATCTCAGTCTTCATCATCATGCTTCTTCTCAACGACTTGCTGGAGCTGCTTCTGAGTCTATACATAGCTGCGACACTGCTGATAGGTCAAAGCTGCTCCACAGAATGTCAGCCATTGTTCGCATTATGGTTTGGATCAAATCTCTTTGGGCTTCACTTTCATCAAGTGGTGGCTCTGGAAGGCGCTCTCTGTTTGAGAAAGCCACTCTGCTCTACTTGTGTCGTCTATCCTTCTTGTTCTATTATAATCTCCATCACTGCTTTCATTTCTTTCTACTTTGGCGCATATTTCTTTTCAACTATTGCTATGGCCTTAGGTCTTCCATTTATTTTAGTTATAACACTGACATCATGTATAGTCACTTGTAGAGCTTCACCCCATACTGACAACATCCCTTTCAGTTTTACAGTGTTGGCCATTAGCAGTTTCACAATGGTTCTGTATATATTTATCATCATGAATTGGTTTTTCTTGCATTATTCGGCACTGTGGTTAGAGGTTTCTCTGGTGAATTTGAGAGTGATCTTGGACCCACCGCTCTGTGTGTTGGTCTGCAGAAGGATTCTCATGGTCTCAACACCCCAAACACAAACAGATCTCAAACAGGTCTGACATGAACAGCTTTACTCCAGCATCCACAACAGAATCTTGTGAAGTGTTTCTCTAAATTTCTCTGTACTTATTTTGCTGTTTAATGTGTTAATTGCTTTTGCTGTATTAACCTTTTATGCCATTCTCCTATTGTTGTTTGTTTTTGACCTTTTCTTTCTATCGTAATCCATTTTTGGGAATCATCAGTCATTTGTAGCATTCTAAAACTGTCTTTGCTGAACGAGCTGTTACAAAAGATTTTTTACTGTGTATTATAAGATTTTGATATTATTTGATGCCGTATTGTTTTGTTCTCCAATAAACTACCAATTGCTGTTGCTGTACTTGTTGACATGCAAAGAAGCTGATATAGGTTTTTGGCCTTGTCCCTTGCATACAGAGGTTTTTCCAGATTCTCTGAATCTTTTAATGATATTATGTACTGTAGATGATAATAGTTTTTTGCTATTTTACGTTGAGAAACATTATTCTTGAATTGTTGCACTATTTGCTCGTACAGTTCACAGGGTGGTGAACCCCTCCTCATCTTTACTTCTGAAAGACTCAGCCACTTTGGGATGCTCTTTATTACCCAATCGTGTTACTGACCTGTTGCCAATAATTAGCCGTCAGATGTTCCACCAAGTGTTTTTTTAGCATTACACAACTTTACCATTCCTTTGTTGTCCCTGTCCCAACTGTTTTGAAACGTGTTGCTGACATTCAATTCAAAATGAGCAAATATTTTTTTCAAAAAACAATAAAATTTCTCAGTTTCAACATTTGATATGTTGTCTTTGTGCTATTTTCAATTAAAAATAGGGTTTCAATGATTTGCACATCATTGCATTCTGTTTTTATTTACATTTTTCGCAGCATCCCAACTTTTTTGGAAATGGGATTGTATAAAATAGTTCTAATGTGAAGCTATTACTTTACAACTTTAGAGGTTTCTGCTATTTTGTAGAAAAAATACTGCAGTTTAGAGGTGTCCAGAATGATGAACAGAGCTGTAGATGATTCTATGACTGAGAAAGCTGTATAACATGGAGAATGACGTTATAATAAAATAAATATCTCACATTCCTCATATTGGAAAAAGTGGTGATCAAATCTGGAGGCAGAATACATATCAAGCAATTACTGTAAATGGATAAAATACTAGATAACTTTATTATTTATTGTTTCTGATGTTTCCAAAACTTAAAATATTGAGGGAAAAAAGTCTTAAAATGCCTTCAGGTGTCTAGATAATATTCAATAATTATTCCTCTATTTGTTTCATTAACTGTTTTCTATTTATTTTATTGGGGCGGCATGGTGGCGCAGTGGGTAGCGCTGTTGCCTCACAGCGAGAATGGCCTGGGTTCGATTCCCGGTCGGGCGACCAGGGTCATTTCTGTGTGGAGTTTGCCTGTTCTCCCCATGTCTGCGTGGGTTTCCTCCCACAGTCCAAAAACATGCAGTCAGGCCAATTGGAAATGGTAAACTGCCCCTAGGTGTGAATGTGTATGTATGTCTGTCTGCCTGCCCTGCGATGGACTGGCTACCTGTCCAGGGTGTATCTTTTATGTCAGCATTGAAGATAAAGCTATTTCTACACCGCAGCTTTTACAGAGTAACCTGTAACTAGAAGCAGCATGTTCAATATGTGAAGACTTCTACTGACCTGTTCTGTTTAAACTGTTTTACAAGTAGTGCACTTGAATTCTGTATTAATCAACCAAACCAACCACACACATTGAATATAAGGCTGTACAAATAACAATAATAATAAAGTAATAAACCTGTGCAGTATTGGACATGGTAAACTGCATTCCCTGGAGCTCTTTCTGCCTCGAAATCCTCACTGTTCCATCACCCCACCAGACCATAGATACTAAACTGACAAGGACACACAGTGTCACTGACTCGAAGCACCAAAAGCTATTGGAGTGCTAAAAGCACCTGCAGCATACGAAGACTGTGATATGATCACAATTACAACAACGGTAAACAGTATTTGGAAACCTCATCTAATCTAAACATTAAAAAAGTAATAAAAATATAACAGCATTATTATCATTGGGTTTTATACCAAGAGATACACTATATGGACAAAAGAACTGGGACACACCTCTTAATCATTGAATTCAGGTGTTTCATTCAGACCTATAGCCACAGGTGTATAAAATCAAGCACCTAGCAATGCAGTCTGCCTTTACACACATTAGAGAAAGAATGGGTCATTCAGAGCTCACTGAATTTGAGCATGGTACTGTAATAGGACGCCACCGTTATAACAAGTCAGTTTGTGAAATTTCCTCCCTCTTAGATATTCCACGATCAACCGTGTGATTATTGAAAAGTGGAAGCGTTTACAAACCACAACAACACAGCCATGAAGTGTCAGACCACGTAAAGTTACAGAGCCGGTCACAGAGTGCTGAGGGGCATAGAGTATAAAAGTCACCAATGCTCTGCTGACTCAGTAACTGTTCAAACCTCCTCTGGCATCAACATCAGCACAAAAATGGATTCATTCTGGATGAATGGGCAAAAATTCCACAGACACACTCCACAATCTTGTAGAAAGCTTCCCAGAAGAGTGGAAAGTGGCTGCAAAGGAGGGATCAACTCCATATTAATGCCTATGGATTTAGAATGGGATGTCATAAAAGCTCCTGTAGACATAATGTGTAGGTGTCCCAATACTTTTGTCTATATAGTGTATTAAAACTGGTGACTGTCTAGTCCCTACATTACATAGACTAACTACGAGAGGCGAGTGGGCTTAAACTTGTAGCTCCACTTCTCTCCAGCTGGAGATTGAAGCCAAGGGGGCAGCAGACGATCAAAGCAGTGACGGATTGTCCAGTAGGTTTTATTCCCCAGATTAACTTATTAGACAACCACTCTGCACCCACACTTACTGGCCACTTCAACTACACCTGCCTCTATGATATAGATGTACAATCACATTTTGAAATCCATCTGTACATCACACATAATTTGTCAGCCACCTTTTACTGCATTCATCACTGGTCAGTTTCTGACCACAGGACTGCTGCTGACCAGATATTATTTGATTGGGGGACCATTAGCACTGTGATGGCATGGTAGCATGTGTGGTCGCGGTACAAATGTATCAGATGATGAAGCGGTGTTGTCTGAGTTTTTACACACGTCAGTGTCACTGCTTAGGTTGGTCTGCCACCCAAACATCCAGTCAAGAGCAGCTCTGTGACCAGAAACTGACCACTGTTGCAGATCTAAAACAGACATGTCAAACTGGGGTACTCGTGGCCAAAGTGCTGCAGACATTAGCGTTTACACCCGTATAACGCTCTGAATCCAGTTTATGAAGGTCTTGCTAATTAGCTGATGAGCAGAATCAGGTGTGTTTAATGAGGCAGTGTGCTGAAGCCTGCAGTGTTGTGGCCCTGGACTGGCCAATAACTGTACATCAGCAATATGTGTATGCGTGTGTGTGTGTGTGTGTGTGTGTGTGTATGTATATATATATATATATATATATATATATATATATACACATATATATATACACATACACACACACACACACACACACACACACACACACACACATCACTGCTATCAGAACAAAACTGTATCTCTAAAATGGTCTCTACTTTTAATGTAAGTCAATGGAACCAGACTTTTTCCAAGTCATTTTGCGCCGTTTCGTTTGGTCCAAAAAACTGAAAAACAACAAACTTAAGGTTTTGTCCCGACAGCAGCGATATGTTCATGTATGAAATGAATGACAGCTATATGTTGAGAAAAAGTAGATTTGTTATGATAAAGTTATGACTTTACATTTATAAAATGTAACAATATGACAGAATTTTCAAAAAGCATCATTAATTCATCAAATATTATATACAAGAATACACTCTTTTCTTGAATAAAATAGGCAAAAATGACAAAGTGCAAAAATACGGTGTGGAATGTGGTACAGTCTCAACATGGAATTGGTCTAAACCCTATTATACAGTGACTGAATGCTGAATAAAGCAGATGAAGTCAGGTAATGGCCTGGTTGGGTTCCTTTAGGATGAAAATTGGACAAGATGAAATTAAATGTAGTTTTAAGTTTGCATTATGTTGACTGCATTTAGTCACTTTTACATGCTGGAATGAAAAGAGTGATGTGTATTAGAAACTGGGGGAGGGGGGGGGGTGTTCACAAAGCAGGATTTCTCAGAAAACCCAACCCAACAAGCCTGATTAATGTTTTCACCCTAATCTCTATCTGCTGTATCTGTACTATCGATTACCACTGACAATAAGTGACACATTTCCTTATACTTCGAAGAGATAAATCTATGGACAGCTGCTTAAGCACCTGACCAGTGCAAATAAACAAGACAAAATGCTTGTTGCCAGTATGATACAGATGTGGCAGATAAAGATGCTGAAAAATGGACTACCTGGCTAACTAAGAAATACCACTTTGTGTTGCAACATTATGAGGTGAAAAAACATGGTCGGAGCTACTCAGCTCAGGACAACAGTGAGCAGGGTTACATTTGTGTCACTTATACAGGCTCAGTTCAGGACAGTGATAAAGACACATGTAGGCATCGCAAAGTAATCGTCGGACGGGCTCCTTGAGGGAGGCGGAGTCTAGACGGCTCAGCTCCTCCTGTGATAGGCTGAGGTAACGTCCCACCTCGGGACACGCTCTCACCTGCGGCACATTGAAGCCATTCTCTCCTCCTGTCAAAGTGTCATACAAAACCAAACAAACAATCAATAAGCAAATCAGTTTTATAGTAAACCCTTTAATATAAAAGGCATCATAACAGAAGCATAGTAAAAATTTGTATTAGTATTTCTCACTTGAAATAACTGGGAAACTTTACTGAAAGTTTTGACAATCGTCAACTTTTAATCAATATCATATTTGTGCTTGTAGGTAGGAGATATTCTATTATGATTTAAATTTGATGAGGGTAGGTACTCCGTATAGTGTCTGTGTTTACATGCAAAGATTTTTAGCAATCCAATTGAATACATTCCTATTATAAATTAAGACGGAGGTGTTTATGCTCACTCTACTCAACAATCTGATGGAAATCTGTTTACATGCGCACTACAAGTAATTAGATGCAAAATTACACGCATGCGTAGAGAACCACTCAGTGTAGACGTTACCATGACAACAAGCATCACGAGAGTCCAGTCAGAGTGAGATGAGCAGCAGTGAGCAGCGCTTGTGTTTTTAATTGACTCGTACAGAAAACGTACTTCACATGTCCTTATTACAGAAGGTGAGAGGAAGACGTCGTGTTCTGAGACACATAAGCTGGACGTCCGTCCCACCGCCGACCTTTAAAGATTAGAGAATAAACTTCGTCTCCTCTGCAGACCAGTTTTTGCTCCGCCATGTTGAATGTTATAAACTCTCGCTATGACGCGACGGACATGAGCAGAACGTACTTAAACTTTCCGTTTGGGAATGTAATCAGATACAGGGGTTTACATGGATATTATTCTCCTATTTAATAGATTATTTACAGGATTATCCACCTCACTCAATCAGATAGAAATTGTATTCCAAATGACCTCAATCAGACTAGCCTATTTTAACTGAGGTGTACACATGGATGCATTCTACTCCGAATGAGCTATTACTTGGATTATTAACAGATTATCAGGCTGCATGTAAACGTGGCTAATATTGTTTTGTGGAAAGAAAAAACGTTACATTTTTTGACACTGAAACAAACAAGAAAAAAGCGCACACTCAAACCTACCAGTGCAGAATGTAAACATAGGTCACTATGTAACTATCTAAATAATGATGTAATAACAATTAAACTGTATAACAAAATGACATTGATAACTCTTGAGGTGAAAGAGGTGAAACTCTTGTCCATGTGATCTAAAAAAAACGTGTCAATGACAAACTTGAATGAAACTGAAATTGTAATACACAGTAACTGTAGCTGGGGACAATTTTGCTTTTTAACACCCTGAATAAATGGATTTTAAAAATATGTTTTAGAGGCTTTAAACACTTCAGACGTCTGGTTCCTATCACCACCACTGCAAAAAATTCTGATTTGGTAAGTATCTCTAGAACAGAACATCTCACACCAAAACACTTTGAATGACTTTGTTTATATGATTTAATTATGCAGACTTTTTGAAAAAAATTGTGACATTCAGTTACCATAAACTAGTCAACAATCAGTTACGTACCCTTTCTGTCAGCCATACTATCGAAAAACAGCCAGTCAGTAAGGAGTGGTCCGTGCTTCACAAAGCTCACGTAGTGGCTGGTCTCAATGCACGTCACAGCAAAGAGAGACAGCTGCTGACGAGTGCCGTGCACTGGCCCCTCCCATGTGCCCTTGGGTATTCTGACCTTCAGCGGTTTGTGTGTCTGACGCTTCTTATGGGCGTGAACCTGGTAGAGAGATGAAATAAAAGATGCAACTAACTAACCAAATAACAAACATTCAAATATTTATTTTGGTGGGAAAAGCAGGACAAACAAACATTTCTCAAAAAAGTGTGCAGCCTATACCTGTGCATTGCAGGTGTTGCAGTACTGTTTTAACTGGCCAGGTGTGATGTCCAGATCCTCATAACACTGCAGGCACTCCCACTCTGCCACTGTCTGACATATACTACACTGTCTGAGTGCTAGAGAGAAAATAAAAGAGAATTTTTTTCAATATGTAGGAAGCATGCTTATGTTTTGTGTTGTCTTAACAGTAACAATGCATTTCAACAAGAGAAAATAAAGTGCCCATACAGTACTTAAAACACTGTCTGGCTTGGATACAGAGGACTGTTATCCATACATAATTTATTAATAATTTATTTTGTATATTTATTAATACTGTTATTCAGTACAGTGATGAGTGATATACAATGTATTCTCACTCTCGTCCAGTAGGTCAGTGATGTCGAGTGTGAGGGAAGGCAGAATCGCGTCAAACATCTTAAACTCTTTACCAAAGCGTGGCATGAGGAGTGGCAGACAGGATGGAGCCTGCAGGACAAAATGGGAAAAAACATCATCATTCAGTAAGCATCTGGTCTGAGACTATGATATGAACTATAGAGTTTTGTAGGGGTGGAAAGATGCACATATGTTCAGGTTTGACATGATATTTGATTCTGTGGTCAAAATTATACACATTTTCATACATTCTTAAATTTGTGTTAAAATGTCTAGATTTCAAGCTAATCACTGCTGATTTTTAAAAAAAAATATTTCCTTTTTTGGCACATTTTTATTAATTAATTTATTTTTAACCCAAAGCTATATGTGCTAAATGAACAACAAAAAAAAAACACTAGCACATTCCCAGCATCTTATCAGTTGCAGAACAAATAACGTTATTTCCTCTTTTACAGGCCAAACTGGCATGTTAATGCTCCCATATCCTACATTAGCTTTTCAACATTTTTGAGGTTTAATGTACCACCAGGATTCATTTGAACATCACTATTTTGTATCCTTTTTTATGTCTTAGAATTAAGCAAGCTGTTTTAATTACTGTGCCTTTAAGAGTGGTATATGTAAGTGACCTCGATTCTGACTGTCTGTACTTTATCGTGCCTAATTCAAAAAGCAGTCCTGGTTGAAACACTCCTTATAACTTCAGTGTGAAAGGGGCTGAGTTTTCCAAGATATGGGCCATTTAAATTTGTACATGAATAATCAGTTGCCTATTTAAAAACACAAATTAAATAAAGTGCTACAGTTTTATGCAAAATGCTAAGTACAATAAGGTATATATATATATACTTACTACACACCATCACACTTTGGTACAGGCATAACAGAGGAATTCAAATAAAACCAGAGAGGCCAAAATCAAAAATAATAAACTGGCTCCTGATCTGGAACTGCTGATTCTGATCTTAGTTGATTCCAATGGAGTAGCCCTAATTTTGATTGATGATTTTTTTAATTGAGTAATTAACTTTAATTAAACATAATTTATTCTAACACCCCAAAATTGATGCAACTAAACTGCCACCATGAAATTCCATTTTTTTTGCACCCCTACTTTCAAAGCTTCCATGCAGTTCTGTGCATGGGACAAGTCCTTATTTATTTTTATGGGTTTCCTCTATTACTTTAATTTTTGTGATGTTTTACTATGAACTGGCAAAGAAAGAATGCTGGTGGTCTTTCTTTTGAGAAAATTTTCAAATGACTTTTCTCTATAATTTTCTTCAGTTAATTTTGAGTTGGGTGGGACTAAATTTGACGCAGTTGATTTCAGTTCTGCCAAAGTACCAATCAGAGGTAGCAATATGTATAAGTCAGCTACCTGCGTTCCTATTCCTTATATAACGTCACTGCTCTCCCGCTTCTGTCTCCTACTATAAGCGATTAACTTACGAGAGCGCAATAGCTAGCGGCCCACTTGAACTGTAGGAATAAAACGTTACCTTGGTGTTACATTAGCCTATTAATTCAATTATTTTATAGATTTTTGGAACATAACACCAGCACATTTTCACAAAACATATCTTTACTATTAAAATAAAATTTGAAACATTTGAAACCATTGGGTGGTTTTAAACTTTATGTGAATTGGAAAACATAACACATTTTCTTTCTGTATTTTGATATATTGCTCAGTGAACCATGGTATCACGGAGGGTCTCTAAACTAGCTGAGCATATTACTCAGTGATAGGTGGGGGTGGTGGGAGTAGCAGGTGAAGAAAGATTGAGAAGATTTTTTCGAGGCAGGCAAAATCATTCCATCAAAATGTAAAAGTACAGAAAATTTTTGTCTTTTTATTTTAAATTATATATTGTCACTAGGGACATGAATTAACTAGGTAAAAAGGCTGATTTCCAGTTCATTTTAATCTGAGTGAGGGTTGCCATTACCTCAGAGAATTTAAGGCCAGAATGCATGAAGGAGGACTCCAGCAATGTCTGCACGCTGGCAACCCTCATGAGTCCAGCAGGGGGCGAGGAGAGAGGGATGGGTGAAAGGGAGGGAGTGAAGGAGGGAAAGAGAGGAGAGTGCATGGGGGAGGATAGAGAGGGGGAGACGGAGGGAGGGAAGAGTTGGTAGATGTGGCACTCCTGTGGCTCCTGGCTCATTGACCTGGAGAAGAAAAAGGAGCAGGAGTACTGAGATGACTGATGAATGGTCAAAACTATAGAATAACGATGAAGGAAGGGAGATAACAAGAGAAAGATCTGACAGATAAAAGGGGAGAGAAAGAAAGAGATGAATAACAGGGTTGTACCTGATCTTCAGAAGTGGTTCTACCCGGAGGAGCTGGAAAAGCTTGTTGAGAAATTCCTCAGGGTCTAAAAACACACACATATAAGATAAACACACATAAAGAATCCTGTCTGTCTCGCCACAGGCAGTAAAGAATGTTTTTCATTTCCTTTGTGTCTAACTCTACCTTTCTCTTCATTAGTAAAGCCTGCATCTGTAGTCTCAGCTTCCAGAAGCTTCCGCAGAGCCATGGTCTTACTGGCACACACGTATCCATACCTAAATATAAACAAAACGGGTAAATCTGTCGCACATCTCTGTTTTTCAGACAAGGTTATTGATCATTTAAGATTTGCTTAATACTTGTGAAAACAATAGCCTTGTGCCCAGAAGATTGTGCAAAATGACCGATTTGGGTCTTCAATATTTACCATGACACAGAGGCTCTAGAAAGTGAATAAGAAAAAACATAAAGCTAGATTTGCAAAAGAAAGTAAGGAAATAAAGAAGGAAGAGAAAAAAAAAGAAAAAAAAGAGAAAAATGAAAGAAAGAAAAAAAATATATAAAAGCGCAAAATAAAAGCCAATAAATATTGTTTATTTATTAAATATTTTATATAAAAAAATATAAAATAAATATTTAAATATCTCTGAAACTAATAAAGAAACAAGCAAGTTTTTAACACCATCTATTGGGTATGACAACATCTTGTCCTAAAAATGATTAAGCCAACATTTTCAGCATTTTGCATGAAATGGCCCAACATTAACAAACACAATCATACATACAAAGCTTTAAATACTGTATCAGAAAAAAGAGCCATATTCCTACATGTACATCACAGCTCAAAGATAAAAGACACAAACCTGCGTAAAGGGTTGACGATTTCACAGCGCAGCAATTCCTGAGCATCTTTACTGCGATGACCGTCCTCATTGGAGGGAAAAAACAAAACCCAATCAACTGAACTACAGCATGAGAAAAGACTGAAAGAGACAAACAGGCAGATAAAAAGAGACTTTTACTATATATATATATATATATATATATATATAAATTCTTGGTCACTAAGACTATATGTAAATAATCTGCTAAAAGGTAAAGATACATAGTCCATGTGAAGGCAGAGAAGCAGGCATTTACATATTATCACCTAAAGAGTGAAGCATCCAGGTAGCAGGAGTTGAGATGACCCTGGATGCCTTTCTTAAAGCCTTCATACAACCGCCGAGCCTCCTGCCCCAGGACTGGTGGAGTGTTCTCCTCAACGCGCTTACTGCCCCACTCCGCAAATGCTGAAATTGAGACACACATGCACACAAAACATTTAACCCATCCGTGCAGTGAAACACCACATACACACACTAGGGGGCAGTGAGCACACTTACTCAGAATAAGGTGACGTCTTAAAGGTGCAGTGTGCAAGATTTAGTGGCATCTAGTGATGAGGTTGCAGATTGCAACCAAATGAACACCCCTGCCTCACCCCTCCCTTTCCAAGCATGTGGTAGGACCTACAAGCCACCAAGTTTTCTGTCACCGCTTGTCCCAATTTCATTTTGCTTCTTCATGTTTTTACTTCTTTTACAAATGACAATTCATTCTCCCTTGCTTTTTTTTGTGCTAAATAAAAAGTCTGATCCTCCACTTGACAAAATTTGGGTTCTCAAACTTTGCACAACGCAAAATGGCTAGCCAGCAGCAGCAACCACTGATTCTTCTTCCAACCGGACCTACAGCACCACCAAATTCAGGCTGCCGCTACAATGTAAAAACATGATGTAAAATGTAAAAATCACTCTCTAGAGCCAGTGTTTGGTTTGTATGTTTCGGGCTACTTTAGAAACATGGCTGTGAAACATGATTTTCCTCTGTTGGCAGAGGATCTGCTTTCTATCTAGATATAAAGGGCTCATTCTAAGCTAACCAAAACACAACGATTCGTCGATACAGGTGATTATACTCTAATGAAAAATGGTTTTGAATACTATATTCAATTTCTGCTAATAGATCCCCCCACATCTGCACCTTTCAAGAAGTTAAGATTCTTGTATGTTACTGTTGGATGTACATACAAGGCATGTGGGCATGGACGATTCAACAATGGGTAAACAGACAGAGAGATAAACAACCTGACAGCTCAGTTGTGTGTGCTAGGTTAGCTTTCGCTTGGCAGTTAGTTTTCGTCCACTAAATTTCTCAAACTGAGAGAGATAGCGAGTTCTTTCCCAAAGATTAGGACCACCCAGTTTACACTGAAAGGTGTAGAATTTTGGCAAAATACATTGCTCATTTATTGGACAATAAAAAAAGTTGTTCATAGGTCACAAGTTGTACATGTATATTGTGTGCCCTCAAGAGCAATATTAAACTGATTAGAAAGAAAACACTGATTTAGGTTCCTTGTGACACCGTTTGAGCTCAGTTTTAGAGAAGATAAGTGTTTTTAGTTGTTGTTCTTAGGAGATACTTGATTGTGATTTCTCCAATTTACCATAGACAGCCTGAACTGAAACAGGATTGTTATTCCTGAGGTCATTCAGAAGGTCATTCCCTCTGCACTTATTAGTGTCAGACTATAAAAACTGCACACACTGCAGATTGCATGCTGGATTAAAATCACAAACGTCATGAGTAATCACTTAAATTACAGAAGCTCCCCAAGTAAAAACTATACTCCAGCAGGGTTTCATGCATAAAACTAAACAAAATGCACTGCAATCAGTAAAAGTTGGAACACACTCACTATCCCTACCACACACTCACCAATCGAATTGCAGCGCTCCACCTGATTGATAGGCATCTCGGGGGCGGGGAATCTGGAGTCCCGTCTACAGTTCCGCAGTTTAACAAACAACCCCTTATGAGGAGGGCAACGAAAGTGGCGTTCGCCAAGGTAACTGCCATCAGTGGCAGCACTCAACTCTTGATCCTGAAACAGTCCCCATACAAATGTATGTAAAACATAATGTATTACAAATCTCATCAACTATAAATCAATTAGCCCTACTAGATAGATGACTTATCCATTGAAAGAATTAGATAAATCTAAATCAAACTTCATCACTACGGAAAGGTAGCAAGTTCTTTCTTTGTGATCTGCTAGTTTTTCAAGACAGCTTTTATACAGAGTAATCCATACCAGTTCTATTCCAGCCACTGGTTCTGAAATGCCAGGGATCTGACCAATCCATTGAATTACTCCAAAAATTGGTGGCTCATTCATCTCCACCATCGAGCCGACCTCTAACCATGTTTTAGGCTCCGTCTTCTCCTCAGGAACTGGTGGAGAGGGTGGATTGTGAAAACCATTTGAAGAATATGATTGGTCAGTGGGTGGTGAAAGAGGCAGGGCTTGTGGCTTAGGGGGCGGAACTGAAGGTGGTTTAAGAGCAGATTTAGGGACGGGAAGAGGAGGAGGCTTTAAAACGACTTTTGGAGCTGGTGATGGTGAAGAAGAAGGAGGCTGTAGGGCAGATTTAGCCATGGCTAGCATGGCAGGCTGTATCAGTGGTCTTGAGTTGGGATTTGCAGGTGCTGTAGGCTGCGGTGGGTGCTTGTTATGGGTGGGTGAAGAAGGCTGAAGGGCAGATTTAGAGGAAGGAAATGGAGGAAGCGCTGGAGGGCTTTTGGGAGTAGATCCAAGCGGAGGTGTGCGCTCTGATCTCGTTTCTAGAGATAGGAAAGGAATGTTACATTGTGCTGAACTTATAAACGTCCATTTTCAACAGGTATTTGCATAAAACTACTCGCTATGCCCCTATTCTTCAATATGAACTACTACATAGCATCCAGCAGTCTGTCTGAGCTCAGGGAACATCACCTGCAGTCACTTTGGAGATGGGCAGAAGATAGCCATATTCAGGAGAAGGGATGGAACACAGCTTGTAGTTTTTATAGAAGCCATTCCAGTTTCCTACCGGACTGTCCTACAGAAACACACAGGCAAAAAATAAAAACGACAACAGTGATATCCTTAGAATAGAAAATAGCTCCCCCACCTCTCCACTTATGCCCTTGAACTCTAGGCTTGTTACCGAGTTATTAATCTTAAAATGTATTACTCAGTGCCTACTATAAATTATTCAGTAACTTCTATGCAACTAATGAAGTTAGGTAGTTATGAGAGCAAGGAATTGAAGTGTCCTGTTGGATTTAAAGGGCCCATATCATGAAAAAACAAATTTTGCACTTTTCTGAAATCAAAGAAATTGTTGTTGCATACGTACACAATCAAAGGATCTCTGTCCTACACCTTTCCTGTATTTAATATTTTCCCCTCTTCATCTAATTGGAATTAACCAGGCTATTTTTGTTACTGTGCCTTTAAGATTATATATGTTAATGACCTTGGTTCTGATTGGCTGTTCTACCTTGTATCTCAATCCAAAAGCAATCCTGGCCAAAACATTTCAGACATAAATGGGCAAGGCTAAACTGCTGTAGGCCAGACAAGCAGATATGTAAATGTATTGGTTTTAATGACATCACAAAAAACAATAAATTCAAAACTAGCTGTTTTTAGAGCCTTGTTTATGTATTTTAAATTGTATGGACTGGGGAATGGTTTAAGACACTTTAACAGTGTCTACAAACTACATCAAACTAACAAGGAAAAATCAATTTCCCATAGGCGCCTTCAAAAGAGTTCTGTTTAATATATGTTTTCTCCTTTTTTTCACTGACACTGAAACATTAATAACCTAACAGGCGTTTTCACTGGAAATTCTGATGCAAAAATGAATTACGACTCTTTTGGTACATAAATCCACACAAATGTGAAAAGTGGACTTCAGGGAAAAATAGAAAATGCAAGAAAAAGTTAGGATATAAAAGACTTCACACTACTTTCTTTGTATTCATTTACTAGACAAGAACTGTACATTAGTTTACTAGTATAATATGTGGTTTTCTGTAGTGTTCTACTCATCACTTGTACTGTGCTATGCTATTACAGTTTACACATAATTTGCAATGTTAATCGACCCTGGCATGTTCCCCTTTGCATTATTCACAAGTTTATACAATATACAGCTTGTCTCATACGGTCTTACGCTGCATGTTTGTGCCCTGTATTTATATACTGTCTGTATTGTCTTATTTAACTGCACTATGTATTTAGTCTGTCTTGGTCACTAGTGTGGTCCTGTAAACACAAGCTCTGTCTTGTTTTTTGCACTGCGTCACCGAAGAAATACTGTTTCGTTCTTCAATGTGTTGTTAACGTTGTAATAATAATAAGCTTATAAATAATGTTTTTTAGTATTTTATGGGTATCATCTTTACTTCCAGAATACTAAACAGCTGCATGTACCATACTAAAGATTTACACCAACTATAGACAGCCTCTAAACAGCAACCAGTGTATAGTAATTGCACAAACTGTAGTATTTGACTTAATGTCAGCCAATTGTTCCATTAGCTTGTTTCATTTTCATTTTCATTTAATTTTCAATTAGCTTCATTTATTTTTTACCAAGAGTTTGCTTCTTTCTCTCTTGTTTATTCCTTGTTTATTTTTGCAAATGTTGAATTCATGAAAATAACATTTCCAGACTTAATTTTTTTTAATTACATTACTGTTTTGATGGTGCTTTTTCCACCATTCTGGCTTATGTGCAAACTTCAGAAAAACTAAATACTGTGAAACATATTATTTATGTTATCTTGTGATGTTTTCTTTGCTATCTCGACCTTAGTTCCACTGTATACAGCACTACAGCAACGTTTCATTCATTTAGTTTCAAAACAGCCGTCAAGCTATTCATTCTTTAATCTCAGGGGGGAAAAAGGATAAAAAAAACATTTACCAGAAGAATACACAACTAAATATAATATATAGTTTGTCAGTATTTAGTGTGTTCACTCTCTGCCTTCATTACAGCTTCTATTCTTTTCAGGAGACTCACTTTCAGTTTTTCAAAGACTGTGTTCTAAAGCAAGTTTTCTACTTTTTGGTCTATGTTCTATTCTCAATAATAGCCTTTGGACAGCTTCACAGCTTCAGACCCATAGCACTGAGTTTCGTCACAGCAGAAGGATGGGCAGAAACAACTATAGACGTTCAGATCTGAAGCAAGAGTGGAGCTTAATTTTCTCCTCTCTCTCAAAAATGAAAGCTCTAAGAACTGTTTATCTGATGGGGACAGCTTTGGTGGTCTACCAGGTATTGTCACAGAGTCTTATTTTCTTTATATCTTAATTTTTTAACCTTCTGGTCTTAAGATTGGAACCATGGAAGAGTTAAAGTGGCAGACAGGTGGACAAAAATAAAGAGTGCAGAAATAGTGACACTAAATATACCTGGATTTAATACTACACTTAGGGTAACTTTCTGTTAAATATGTTTTCTTGTGCTTATTTTCTGACATTAAAAAAAATGAAAAACATGTACTTAATGGCCAGTCTGAATGTAAATTAAATAAATGAAAAAGTGGTCTCTGAGTTTTGCACGGCTGTGTACTTAATGGATAAGATGGCAAAATTCCTTTGTACTCTTGAAGCTGACATTGACACTCACCAGTAAGAGTCCGACATGCAGTCCTAAGGACGTCCGGGTGGGCAGTGGGCCAAAGAACTGCACAGTGCCTGAGTGGAGTGTGCTGTCCTGGCTGAAACACACCCTCTGTCCTGTTTGCAGCGGAGGTGGAGAGGCAGGAGGTGGGGCTGATTCTGCAGTCCGTGACTGCAGGATGTTAACTGCATTGTGGTTGTAGCTAGAGCTCTGATTATTGCTGGAGTTGTGGTTTGAGTGGTTTGGTCTGTTAGCTTCACGCTCAAGCTCATGGTCCCCAGCGCTGCCACTTCGAGAGGAGCGGCGGAGGGTCAGCTCGCTGGCTGCCACGAAGAGGGCGCACTGCTCTGGACATGTGAAGAGCTGGTGTCCTTTGTAGCTTCCATTACTGTTGCCCTTACCTGCTGCCCAGCCCTGGAAGACATGCAGGAGAGAGAGTGTTAATGGTAATCGTTAATCAACTGGCTAAGGTTCATATTTCAAGATTTACATTTAAACCATGGCACAACCCTTTTGTAAAACTTGATAAAAAAATCAAATTGGTTGTTTTTTTATACCTGTTGCAGTGGTTTTTGATATGTGATTTCTGACACTGTATGATAGTTATCCTTAAAAAGTCATTACATGTGAACTATTCCATATTGATTGTTAGTTTTTATGTCTGAACTATTATTCTAGAAAATTGTTTTATGAGTAGATTTGTCCAAATTTTTCACCGCCTGCTTCCGTTATTTGTTAGCTACATTAGCCCTGTAGCTTCATTGTAAAATTAACAAAGCAAACTTGAGACATAAAACATGTCTTGGCTAACTGACAACATTTGGGGTAAGGAGAAAACTGTGTAAACTTGCTTTTTTGCCAAACTATCACTTTAACCAGACACAGATATAGTTAAAAAACAAACAGAAAAAAAAACCTGATGTGTTTGGAAAATGTACATGTCAAAAACTTTACACTGTATCTAGAATTTTACTTTCAGTTGGACTCCAAAGTACACAGCAGCACTTCCTCGGGTTAGTGGACCTCGATAACGAAGTTCAGCCTCTGCAAACTCTCCAGTCTGGCTCCAGCGCACCAACACTGGTGAACCCAGGGGTAAGGCAGCCAGTCGCAGTAGCCGGTAAGGTTTGGACAGCAGTTTGAAGCGTAGGTCTAGGTCACTGATAGGTTCCAACAGGCTGGCTAGGTCAGGGGGTACTTCATCTAGCAAATGTTTATCAAGCTTCACCATGCTGCCGTTGTCTATCACCTGCAAGAAGTGGAAATGTTGATATATCATTGGAAAACGATGGCCTTAATATTTCTATATAGGCAGAGATGGGTAGTGGCTAGCAGAGGCAGAGGGGGGCCTGGGGGGGGCCTAGACCCTAACAGTTGGAAGCTAGGCCCCTTGTAGCTACGCCCCCGTTTCCCCAAATTAGGCATAGGTAATAAAACTGGGAGGGGCAAAGGAGGAATAAGATGAACCGCTCCTTCATCCCAGAATGTATAAAAATTGATGTAATTCTTTGTGTGATTCAGTTACTTCTTGAGAACTAACTCAGATTAATGCTGTTTGTCTGTAATGACCTTAACAGGCGCTGGATGAACTAAGAAGTTCCACTGCAGTTCTATACGTCACTCAGTACATGAAGTCAACGTGAATCGGAAATCAGAACGCATCTTCCTTTGACACTGTGACTAATTTTCTAGTGAAACGTGGTATTAAGGAGGGTCTCTGACTTGATGGTAGATGGGAGTGGTGGGAGGAGGACAGGAAAACATTACTGATAAATATTATTTTCCCCCAACCACTAGTGCACAATATAAAAAGATGATTCACGCTTTATAAGACCAGTGACAAGAACTAACAAAGTGAAAATTTGATTTCAGGTTGAGTTTAAGTCGTTTTTTGACCTGTTACTACTGGTACTACTATGACTTGAGTCACTGTTTCACTGAAGTAACAATACTTTTACTGTAGTATGGGGTTTCCTAATATTGGGTGACCGAAAATTAGAGTGAGTGAAACAGAGAATGAGAGACAATGTGTGAGTGAATCAGTGCGAGAACTAGAACCCCTTACCTTTACCCACACGTAATCTCCTCTTCCACCACGTTCCCCTCCACCATCCTGCTCCTGGCACAGATGCCCCCTTTGGAGGCGAATGGTACCATCCAGATGGTCCTGCACCTTATGGTCGGATATGACCATGTACATTTTTGAGGGGCGCCGCCTCCGGTTTTGATGTGTGACACCGGACATGGTGAAGGGAGCACCTCACTGTTTGTGCAAAAAGAAGTTGCATGAGAACACTGTGATACGTGGAAAAAAAACAACACCATTAACATCTGAAACAAACGAAAATTAGCCAGGGACTTAAAGGGGAACTACACTGATTTTTTCGAAGTTTCTCCATAATGAAATGGTTACCATGCCAACATAGTCATTCAGAGTGCTTTGATGTGAAATTCTTCATTGTGGAGAAACTTGCCGAGTCAGAACAGTTCGCAGCGGTGGTGATAGGAACCAGATGTCTACCTCTAAAAGCTCCCTTACAGAAAGTTATAACATGAAATGGTTCTGAACACCCAGCCTGAGACACTGTTTGACAGTAGTTTTGTGACAAAGTTTTGGCTAAAAATATATTTCAATCAATTTAGCTATACTAATCCATTCATGGTGGAAAGATACATGCAGGATGTTCAAGGTAAAATAGTCCCCAAATATTATTATTATTTTTCATATTTACCACTACTTTACAGTCAACAACATGCATATAAAACTTAGAAGACATGTGGCTATAGGTTCATTGGTGGTTTTGGATAGCAAATAAAATGTTCTATATTTGTGTTGTAGGCACAGGGACCCCCGGTTCCTATCACCACCACTGTAAAGAAATCTCTACAATGTGACATCACACATCAAACCACCCTGAATGACTTCGTTTATATCCCAACCGTTGAATTTGAGGAAATTTTGAAAAATAGGTGGAACTCCCCTTTAAAGCACAGTAAGAAGGCCTTTACAGAACGCCAGCGGTGGAAATTCTCTTCATCTCCCTTTGAGGCAGGCTTGCCGCATATTGACCAGCTAGATTGGCGGTTAAAGTCATTTTAGCGAGCTAACAGAGGCTCCTGAACTACATTTCACAAACGCTCAAAAAAACTGACGATTTACAACCATTTACAACATGAAATCTCCACTTACCAGTGTTGACATCGCCGTCTTTTAAACTTTTTTGCTTTTTACCTCAGCACACAGGAAAAAAAAACAGGAAGCAAAATGATTGGCGCCGCCAAGAACCAATCAACAACGGGAATAAAGTTTCTCTAGCCAATCAGAAGCGCCGCGACGGCGGATGAAGGAGCGGGGCTTGTGTTGTGAGGGAAATTCCACAGTTGCGTTGCTGTAGTTGAGATGAGACGCAGCAACGCACGTAAACGCTGTACGTTAACAAACCATACCGAAAACAAGCTTTTACACATCCTTATGCTGAAATATCATTATCAAACAGGAAAGCAGCTCTTACACCAAATATCAGGCCTCTTGATTTTACTTGAATCAACTCCTGTTTGAGCTAATCTGTCTCCTCAGGATTAAAGGGCCCATACCCTGCCTCTGCCCCCCCCCCAGTCCACTTATGACGTTTGTGTGGTTTTATGCGTCAAAAATAGTTATGACCGTTTACAACCCCTTACTCATTCCTTGTAGTTAAACTACCTTTGTCTTTTAACTCTCTGTGAAGCACTTTGAGCCTCATTTATGTATGAAAGGTTTCATGCAAATAAATGTTGTTATTGTTGGTATTATTCTTAAGAATGAGTTAATATTTAAAAAAAAATCTGTTTTTACATATGTAATATCATATATATATGTTATTACATCTTATAGATGTTACAAATGTATCTATTATATATATTCTTCATTATATATATATAATATATAATATAATAATATATATATATATATATATATATATATATAATATGTATAAATAAATATAGAAAGATATTTTCATAATGATCAAGGTGACAAGAGGAAGAAGCTATAAATGTCTATTTTAAGAAAATGATGTTCACAGTGGTGATAAACACAAAAGGCCCTCTAGCGACAGCTTTAAAAAATGCACATTTTCAGAGGTGATGCATTGAGCTGCAAATTTTATGCAAATAAATGCTATTATTATTAGTATTATTATTAAGAAAATATCATCATCATCATCATCATCATCATCATCATCATTGTTAACCGCTTAGTCCAGATAGGATCGCGGTAGCAGTTGGGAGAGCAGAGAATCCCAGGTGACCCTGTCCCCCGCAACTTCCTCCAGCTCATTCCCGGGGACCCCAAGCTGCTCCCAGGCCAACTTGGAGATATAATCCCTCCAGCGGGTCCTAGGACGACCCCGGGGTCTTATTCCAGTAGGCCGTGCCTGGTACACCCCCACCGGGAGGCGTCCCGGGGGCATCCGGATCAGATGCCCGAACCACCTCAGCTGGCTCCTCTCAATGCGGAGGAGTAGCGGCTCTACTCCGAGCTCCTCCCGGATGGCCGAGCTCCTCACCCTATCAAATAGAGTGTAGCCCGCCACCCTGCGAAGAAAGCTCATTTCTGCCGCTTGTATTCGCGATCTCATTCTTTCGGTCATTACCCACAGCTCATGACCATAGGTGAGGGTCGGGATGTAGACCGATCGGTAGACAGCCTCTTCACCACTACAGTCCGGTACAGCGACCGCATTACTGCTGCCGCTTGTCCCAGCCTGCGGTCGATCTCACGATCCTTCTTCCCATCACTCGTGAACAAGACCCCGAGATACTTAAACTCCTCCACCTGGGGCAAGTCCTTTCCCCCTACCTGGAGTGGGCATACCATCCTTTTCCGGGCTAAGACCATGGACTCAGACTTTGAGGTGCTGATCCGCATACCAACCGCTTCACACTCAGCTGCAAACCGCTCCAGTGTGCGCTGGAGGCATCCATGTGATCCAGCCAAAAGAACAACATCATCTGCAAATAGCAGAGACGCCACCCTCCGGCCTCCACACATAATGCCCTCCTGACCCCGGCTACGCCTTGACACCCTGTCCATGAATATCACAAACAGGAGTGGAGACAGGGCACAACCCTGGCGGAGTCCAACGCTAACACTGAAGGAGTCCGACTTAATGGCGAGTATACGAACACAGCTCTCACTCCGGGCGTACAGAGATTGAATGGCCCGGAGTAGTACCCCCGGCACCCCATACTCCCGGAGGACCTCCCACAAGATATCTCGGGAACACGGTCGTAAGCCTTCTCCAAATCCACAAAACACATGTAGACTGGGTTGGCAAACTCCCATGCCCCCTCAACAGTCCGTGAGAGGGTGAAAAGCTGGTCCATTGTTCCACGGCCCGGACGGAATCCGCATTGTTCCTCCTCAATCTGAGGTTCAACTATCGGTCGAAGTCTCCTTTCCAGCACCTTGGCATAGACTTTCCCAGGGAGGCTGAGCAGTGTGATACCCCGATAGTTGGCACACACCCTCCGGTCCCCTTTCTTGAAAATAGGGACCACCACCCCGGTCTGCCAGTCCAAGGGTACTGTTCCCGAGGTCCATGCACTATTGCAGAGGCGTGTCAGCCACGACAGCCCCACAATATCCAGAGCCTTAAGCATCTCCGGACGAATCTCATCCACCCCCGGTGCCTTGCCACTGAAGAGCTTGCCAACTACCTCAGTGACCTCCACCAGGGAAATGGAGCTTGACACGCCAGAGGCCTCTGGCCCTGACTCCCGTGAGGGAGGCATGTCACCCGGATTAAGGAGTTCCTCAAAGTGCTCTTTCCACCGACCGACAATATCCTCATTTGAAGTCAGAGTTTCTCCACCCCTGCTGAATACAGCCTGGGCGCAGTCACCCCGACCACTCCTGAGTCGCCGGACAGTTGTCCAGAACCTCCTCGAGGCCGACCGAAAGTCTTTTTCCATGGCCTCACCAAACTCCTCCCACGCCCTGGATTTTGCTTCTGCCACCGTTGCAGCTGCCACCTTTTTTGCATGTCGGTACCTATCTGCTGAATCGGGAGTCCTTCGGGCCATCCAGTCCCTAAAGGCCTCTTTCTTCAGCTTGACGGCCTCCCTCACCACCGGTGTCCACCAGGGGGTTCTTGGGTTACCGCCATGACAGGCACCAACAAGCTTTTGGCCACAGCTGCGCCTGGCAGCTTCCACAATGGAGGTTTTGAACAGGGTCCATTCAGACTCTATGTCCCCTACCTCCTCTGGGACATGAGAAAAGCTCTCTCGGAGGTGGAAGTTAAAATCATTCCGAACAGGGGCCTCCGACAGTCGTTCCCAGCACACCCTCACTATTCGCTTGGGCCTACCGGGTCTAACCCTCAGTCTTCCCTGCCATCTGATCCAACTCACCACCAGATGGTGATCAGTTGACAGCTCAGCACCTCTCTTCACCCGAGTGTCCAGAACATATGGTCCCAAGTCAGATGAAACGACAACAAAGTCGATCATTGACCTTTGACCCAAGGAGCTCTGGTACCATGTACACTTATGAACATCCTTGTGTTCGAACTTGGTGTTCGTTATGGACAATCCATGCCTGGCACAGAAGTCCAATAACAATTCACCATTCGGGTTTAGATCGGGCAGGCCGTTCTTCCCAATCACGCCTCTCCAGGTCTCCCAGTCATTACCAACATGAGCATTGAAGTCTCCCAGTAAGACTATGGAGTCTGTAGTTGGGACCCTTTCCAGAACCCCGCCCACTTGCTCCAAGAAGGCCGAATACTCCGACCTGTTGTTTGGTGCATAAGCACACACAACAGTCAGAGTTTTCCTCTCTGCGATTTTAATACGCATTGAGGCGACCCTCTCGTCCACCGGGACAAACTCCAACTGTACTGCCGCCAGCCGGGGACTCGTGAGTATCCCCACACCCGCCCGGCGCCTCTCACCTTGTGCAACCCCGGAGTAGGAGAGGAACCAACCCCTATCCAGGAGTTTGGTTCCAGAGCCGATACTGTGGGTGGAGGTGAGCCCAACTATATCTAGTTGGTACCTCTCAACCTCCCGCACAAGCTCTGGCTCCTTCCCCCCCAGTGAGGTTACGTTCCACGTACCAAGAGCCAGTTTCTGCCGCAGGGGCCTAGGCCACCAAGGGCCCCCCTGCAATCTCCCACTGCCTGTACGGCACTGCACCACTCCCCCATGCTGGACCTTGCGGGTGGTGGGCCCACATGGTCCCCCCACGTTGCCTCTTCGGGCTGAGCCCGGCCGGGTTACGTGGGCTGCCCGGCCACCAGGCGCTCGCCGAGGGACGCTACCCCCAGGCCTGGCTCCAGGGGTAGGTCCCGGTGACCCTCTCCCGGGCAGGGTACACGATCTTCTGCATCCGTTTTTCATGGAGGTTTTTGGATCGAGTTAGTCTGGGTCTTCACTCCAGACCTGTTCGCCCTGGGAGACCCTACCAGGAGCATGTTGCTCCCGACGACTTAGCTCTGAAGATCCCTAGACCACACAAGCCCTTCCGCCACGACAAGGCCCCGATCCAGAAAGGGTATTAAGAAAATATGAATATTTTAATTTTTTATTTCACATTTTCAGAGGTTGGACAGTTTGTTACTGATACCATTTTGATCTAAACACTGTATTATCAGAGGTGTAAGTAACGAATTACATTTACTCTCGTTACTGTAATGAGTACAGTTTTCCCTGCAACGTTACTTTTTGGAGTAGAATTAAATCATAGTACTTTTACTCGTACTTGAGTTAATTTTTAATGAAATGCTTTTACTTCGCTACTTTAATTTTCATGACGTTACAGAGTAAAAATAAATGATGACGGTATCAACTCAGAACTCAATACGAACGAAGCGCGGTTAAATTTAAAAGATTTACCAATCAAAAAAACAGCAGGAAAAACACTACAAAGAGGTCCAGTTTGGTGAAGGACAGAGGAGAACTTTTTTATTCAAATGGTACCTGCTCTGTGAGGGTCCATGGGGGTCCTGACCACTGAAGAACGGGGTAAAAGGGACCTAACAAAGTATGCAGAGAAACAGATGGACTACAGTCTGTAATTGTAGAACTACAAAGTGCACCTATATAGTAAGTGGAGCTGATAAAATGGACAATGAGCATAGAAACAAGGAGGTGGTCATAATGTTATGCCTGATCGGTGTATTTACTAATACTTTTACTTGTACTTGTGTAGGGATTTTCCCTGTGTATTATTAAGTATTAAATGATTTAAAAGCTGACTCTTGGCTGTTTTTGATACTTTGTTTGCATCCCTGCAGGGTTTTCAGACTACTTTTGGCTGCAAATTACAGGGGCAATGTGGCAATCCTGTGCCCAAATGCCTGAGGGAGGCCAGGAAGTCAGCATCATTCAGAGAGCGCAGTTTGGTGAGTAGAGAGAAAAGAAGAGATAAAAAAACAACCCCCTCCCTCCTATTCAGTCAGTTTCTTATTTGAATTCTCCCATTCCACCTAAAATGGTGCAGCAGTTACATTCTGGCGCCTCAGGCGAAAATGACGACTACACTGTAAAACTTCTTGCACATCTTAACTAAAGAATTAAGTTAACACAAATACTACAGAAAGTTGGAGTAACTTAATCTGAAAAAATCAAATTATCTCAAAAATGAATCGCTGACATAGTAACTCATTTTGAGTGAGATTGTTTTTTTAGAATATTTAAGAGTTAAGGTAACTTTACCTAAATGTATTATATTCAATTTTTCGGGTGGCGTGGTGGCGCAGTGGCGCAGTGGATAGCGCTGTTGCCTCACAGCAAGAAGGGCCTGGGTTCAATTCCCGACCAGGGTCCTTTCTGTGTGGAGTTTGCATGTTCTCCCCGTGTCTGTGTGGGTTTCTTCTGGGTTATCTGGTTTCCTCCCACAGTCCAAAGACATACCGTCAGGCTAATTGGACATGCTCAATTGGCCCTAGGTGTTAATGTGTATGTCTGTCTGTCTGCCCTGCAATGGACTGGTGACTTGTCCAGGGTGTATCCTGCCTTCTGCCCAATAACAGCTGGGCTAGGCTTCAGCAGCTCACCACGACCCAGAAGAATATTCACTTCTGGGTCGTGGTGGGCTGCTGAAGCCTATCCCAGCTGTTATTGGGCAGAAAGCAGGATACACCCTGGACAAGTCAAATCAAGAAGAATATTCACTTCTGGGTTGTGGTGGTTTTCAACTTGGCTTTACATGCAAATACAAAAAGGTCAATAATGGGTTGTTCTTAAAGACTTGAAAATTTTGTGTGGCCTAATGTGATAGCATAAATGATTACATTTAAATGCAAAGGTCCCATCAAATGGGATAAACTTATTGCAATTTAGTTTAGACTTATCAGCTTTACTTGAAAAATGGTTGGTCAATGCAACCTTCTTGAGTAAAACTCACATCATTCTTATTGGCTCTTAGTGCCATATATTTACATATTGGGCGTGTCTCTTCACCGTCTGTGTGTTGTCATTCTGGTTCCTAACCATAACTTATCAGGGTTTACAGTGTGAAGATCATGTAGAGTTTAACTATTCTAGTGACTAATTAAGCAGTTTTTATTTATTTATTTATTTATTTTTTAATGCATTAAGTTATGTGTTGGAGTAAAATTTTAGTCAAAATTCTCGATCATTAACAAAACTGGCTAAACCTGGCAATGCTACTGTATGGTGTAGCAAGTATGGTTGTTGTTTTTGTAGTTTCCAGGCTGACATTGTTCAAAACCGAAAAGATACAAAAGAAATGCAGTTCAGCGTAATTTTAACCATAATGTGAAATGACACAGTACTTCTACAACATCTTAGCAAAGTAGCTTTTGGGTATATTAACATTAACTGCTTCAAACATTAGCAGGCAGATACTGCAGCTGCCACTAGATGTCGCTGTCTGCCTTTTAAACAAAAGTGTTTATTTTGTTGCTGATGCAAAAAAAAACCCAAAACCTTTTCATGTTTTAGTATCTCTGTCCCAAATGACAAAGAAAGTAATAACATAATATCCATTAATTAATTTAGTTGATAATTTACTTAAATTATAAGATAATGCCTTATCTTACCTAATTTCCATATCTTAAAAATTAAACTCCACCAATTTTCAAAAATTTCTGTAATACTGAATGGTTAAGAGTTAAACAGAGTCATTCAGAGTGGTTTGGTGTGAAGTGGTTCATCATAGAGAAACTTACAAGCTCTGATTTCTTTACAGTGTTGGTGATAGGAACTAGGGGTCATGATGTCTACAACACAAATATAGCCAGTTTTTTACTATCCAAAACCATCAGTGAACCTACATGTGTCTACTCAGTTTTTGCATGTAATGATGATGATGATGATGGTAAAGTAGAGAAAAATCTGAATAAATAAGTTTTTTTTGGGGACTCTTTTGCCTCACAACACCCTGCATGTACCCCTCCACTATGAATGGATTAAAAAAGGATTAAACCACATTTTAAGCCAAAACTGTATCATTAAACTATCATAAATCAATATCTCAGACATCAGGCAGTTTATTCAGAACCATTTCATGTAATAACTTTCTGTGAGGAAGCTTTTAGAGGTGGATGTCTGATTCCTATCACCACCACTGTGAACAGTTCTGACTCAATATGATTCTCTAGAGTATTTCTACCACCAAACCACTCTGAACAACTCACATCTCAAGGACTGAATTATTCAGAAATTAAAAACAAAAAAATCTATTTTAAGAAGCTCGCACAAACTCATCAGTGTTTTCAGAGTGTTAACATTTTTACAGTGGCACTATAGGACTTATGATCTCAATCAGAAAGGCAAATAAATAGCAATAATGATAAATGGCTGGATGGGGAGAGGAGCTAACAATTCACATTTAAGCTGCATTATTGAGTAATGCAGTTTATTAGTTAAATATTCATTATAAAACCTGCCAAAAATAATGACAAACCAGATCTAAGAACTTTTCCCCCACCAAATCCAATCACAACCTGAGACTGGTGGAAACCCACACAATCTGACAACGCTGGTAATTGACTTACTACAGCCCTCGGTGGAGGACTCTGAACTGTCCATGAGTGGATGTGGATGGCCCCTAGTGACGAACACTTGTAATTTATACAGCACGATGAAAAAATCTGAAAGTGTTAAAATTGGTAAAAATTCATTTGCTTTTGGGATGTCACAAAAACCAATTCATTTGCATATGTCATGTCGCACAAATAGCATTTTGGCCCTGCCCACTCACACTGAAGTTATATTTTTGAGTGAATACAGGACATCCAGTCAGAACAGGGCTCATTTACAAATGTTAGTTTTAAAGGCAAAGTAGGAAAACAGCCAAGGGATAAGAAGTGGAAAAATGGTCAGGTAAAAATGATTTGTGGTTGTTTTTGGTGTAAAAAACAAAACAAATGACATAGAAGTAACACAAAGAAAAATAAAGCCAAAGAAAAATGTAGAATATGGGCATTTTCTAACTCATTCATGTCCATCAACAAAATTTGGGGTAATGAGCACACTTCGGTTGTGCTGACCCTTACGAATTCCCCAAATGCGGGAATCTTGACTGCATAATTTCTGGTAGTGGGGGACTGCGGTCGCGCTCTCCCCTGACAAGCTTGTGTTTAAGAACAGAACTAAGAACTAAGCCTCTGTGGATTTGCCAGCGGCGTGTCAACTTCTTTGCAACTCCACGGAAGCTTCCGCAGCCTACTCTTTAGCACCGCGTGTGCCCGTGGACCAAAAAGTCATGACACACTGGCGTCCCACGCATCTTCTCCCAGCCAAACGGGGTCTGTTTTCACCCTCTGAGTGAGCAGCCTGCAGCTCCGCATTTGCCCTTGGGTGTTTCACCCATGCTTTCTTTTGTGCCTGCTCCAAAGCGCCTTTCTGTGCTTCTTTCCCGTGTACTAAGCGTGACAGGCACGCACGTACTAGGATTACCAGTGCCTGCAAGACACACAGTGTTCCTTGGGACCAAAGGGCACGCCAGGGGGTGCTGGCAATTTTGTGGCCCTGAAATAAGCCGCTCGGAAGCCGACACGACTCCGAAACGTGCCCTCTCTCAGAAACCTTGTGCGGACACGGCAGGTATAAGTGAGTGCGGCATATAGGTGTTGCGTGCTAGCTATGGCAGTACATATACTAAAATTGGATAAGGATAACATGCAAATCCGTGAAGCGTTTCCTAGTTTATGTCGTCTCACACAAGCGCAGCACGTCACGGCAGCCGCCGCGTGACGACTTCGCATGATCGGCGCACTGACCCGCGAAAGCCTGCCATGCATCTTCTCCCAGCCAAACGCCACAGCTGCTGGGGTCAGGACCTCGGCCTGCAGCTCTGCACTCGTTTTTGGGTGTTTGGCGCATGGTTTGTTTTATGCTTGTTCCAAAGTGTGTTACTCTGGCTGGCTGGCTGGCTGGCTGGCTGGTGCTGTTAATTCTATCCATTTTGTTTGTGGGTTTTTTGGCCCAAACATTCTAATGTAATGTGTAAGCTTGAGTGTAATAATAATAATAATAATAATAATAATTGTGCATTTATAGCATCATTCATATATTTGGAATGCTGATTAAAACATAAGGAAAGAAAATGTATATTTAAGGCCAACATGCTTTGTTGTCCACTCAGACTGTGTCATAGAGTCTAGACTAGCCTTGAGCTCAGACACTGTCAGAAACAAAAGCCAGTGCTGATACCTGGAAAGAGAGATACAGAATTAAGACACAGCATAACTGCAGTACAGTGTATTTCAGTAAGTTCTAGATTAGTGCTCACTGAACTGCTTCACAGAGAAATGGACATTCAGTTTTCACTTGAAGTCCGTGAGAGACTCTGCTGCTCAGACAACCAGTGGAAGGTCGCTCCATCACCCTCAGGTTCCAGGACAGAGAAAAGTCTTCATGCTTGTCTTCTGTGCGTCCTGAAGGGTGGCAGGTCAAGCTGAGCTCTATTTGATGCTCAAAGAGCTAAAGGTATGGACTGAGTTTCGAACATTACCATAAGTCAGATAGAGACGGGTCTGGCTTTGTATACAAACATTAGGGTTTTAAATCTGTTGTATACAGCTACAGGAAGCCAGTGAAGGGGACGCAACCATGGAGTGACATGAGTGCACTTAGCGAGACTGAAGAAAAGTTGTGCTGCTGTGTTCTGGATCAGCTGCAGTAAGTTGCTGGCCTGTTTAGGAGAACCTTGATCTTATTTGGCTCTCGTCATCGTTGCTCAGGTCTTCATTCCAGCCCATTTCTCCTGTGTCCAACAAGCCAACTGAACTGACTGTCCACTCACCGTCTAACATCCCAAACCTTCACATGCGCTACTGTTAACAAAATAATCAACATTGACATATTTTGACATATTTTCAGCATGAAGGGGCGGGAGGTGGTCTTCCTGTATGATCTGTCAGAACAGCATTCTAGTCTTTTAGAGCAGCATTGCCATCTGCGGAGGTAAGAGCACAGTTTATTTAACATAATGTAAATATACTATTACTGTAAAAGTGTAATGATAAAATACCAATAAAGCCTAATTTTGATTTATTTTGTCCTGCCTGAGTCTTTATTTCTCTGAGCATTTATATTCCAGTTTGAATGTATTTATTTTGGAACATTTAAAAACAGTGTTAAATTTGATAAACAATATGTTAGTTAGATCATATAGAGAGTGGGTGTCACCACTGCCTTACTGCCGTCTGTGTTTTTAGTATGTAAAAGGTGTGAGGACACGACATGCAGGATATTGTCCTCTTTCTGGTCAGCGTTAAGAGTCTGTGGTGTTTTCGTCCAGCAGATGATGGTGTTAGAGGCTGGTCTTGCTCTAAGATATGTTCTCTGCTGTGCTCATGTTTTCTTTATTCCCTGCTCTGTTATAATCTCTGCTGTTGGATTCACGTTTGTTTGTCTGTCCATCTTTTCCACAGCACCACCGTTTCACCTTTTCAGTCTGTTACCACTGTTAGCTGTGACAGTCTCCTTATGTTCAGTCACCTGTGGAATGTCTACTAAAATCCACAGTGCTGATAGAAACAAGAAACATAAACGTGTTGTTTCCTTTGGCGATGATCACTATGATCCTATATTTGCCTTTTCTGATTGTGTACCTTTATCGGAGTAGCTGGGTCCTGTGGGTGATCAGTGAGTGTCTGTTGAGTTTGAGAGTGACTGTAGACCCCCTGGGGTGTGTGGAGATCTGCAGAAAGAAAATCACTCAGACACACACAGACCCCTACACTGACCAAACATCAGTTCAGGCTGAACAGTCGGTGTAATTTGTCTGTGCTCAGCTCTCAATAATCAGATATCAGTTTATCAGCAGGGTTTGGTAGTAATGGAATAGATGTAACAGTGTTTTATAATCAGGATACAAAAAAGGAAACTGAATCCTGTTACAGTGAAACAGACGGTAATCAGATAAAGTATCATTGTGTCTCATAAAACAGTGCAGTTATCTTGTTTGCTTTGTTTTCAGGAAAATTATTGATTTTTCCCCTCTTTTTTTAATTTGATATAATTTTAAAAGGACAATTAATTCAAAAGTAGTGAAGTAATCAGATTACATTCCTTTAATATAGTAATCCTTTAGATGAAATAGGTTTCAATTCAGCTTTTTACAGGTAATCATTAATCCCAACCCAAATAAAACCCCAATATAAGAGCTGAATCTGCTCTCAAGATCAGCACAATTAATAATCTATAAATCAGGTGATGTTTTCTTTGTTAACTTTAATTTTTGTATTGTTTGTTTGATGAATTTCAAAAAAAAAAAAAACTCCATAAACTGCTGAGTTACTTTTTCTATCCAAACACTGGGTGACTGTTGGAGTGTTGTGTTGTGTTATTTGGACAGTGCTGGGCAGTTCAGTGTACCTCAGCCGCTGGGTTAAGAACTGGGTCAGTCTCAGTGACAGATAATGACACTGTTAGTTGTACACAAGTTTTTACCTTATTAAACTGCAGCTTATGAAATTAAAGTGTAATATTCAATAGTTCATCTGTTATTAAACATAACACTGAGTTTAGTAACACTAAACAGAACTAAACACGGCACATTAATAAAAGTGTAACTAGCACTACGTTTTCAGTCCACTGTACCAGCACACATGGAAAAATTTGGGCCCCACTGGGCTGAATGAATAGATTTAAAATGGAGAAGTGGCAGAAATTGTGCACTAAACTGTGCAGAAAAGTGTCATATAGAGGTTTGTTCTCTGTAGACAGTGAGGGCTTATTTACACTGCATAAACATTTAATTTGAGTGGGTGTTAAAATGGCCGCTGTACATCTGAGCTTTGTTTAATTTTCAGCCTCAACCCAGTTCCTGTTTGCAGCTGCAGCATAAAGACATCAAATCAGTGACACACAGCACTGATGCTGAGTCTCTGAGTTTGGTTGATGCTTAATAACATTATTTCAGTAAACTAGAGATTATTATTTATATTTTTGTGAAAGAGAAGTGTAAATAAATTAGACTATTTAAAAAATATATTATTACTAAAATGACTGTAAGAAAACATATTATACGTATTATTATAGCACACAATCCCAGCATTGTAGTCAGTATGAACCAAAATATGGTTTGAATAATCAGCCCAGCTTGCTGGATTAGATTGACGCAGCATGTGTTCTGTTTAATAGTGATACAGTGGTGTGATTGAAAACTACCCAAACTGAGTTTTATAAACCCAGAATCTTTTAGACTGGAGGGCTTTAACATTCACCACCTGCTGTAAATATTGCAGTAGATTTATTATCATATCTTACTGAGCTTTGTGAATAATATGATAATATTTGTATTTGTACTCTGTACCTGCAGCTCTGTCACAAACATCCTACATTCCTCTCTGCACTGACTCTGAACATTCAGTATATGTAGAGTATAGAGTTCATCAGTGCTCTGATCACCAGCTGGTCTGTTTTCTCTATTGTCCTGTGCTTAAAGGTGCTTAGGTGTATATTATTGTATATTGTACAGTAAAGATATTATTGAATAGTTCTTATGTTACTTTTAATGTTTTTAAATGTATTAAATAATTAAGTCCTGTAGTTTTGCAGCCTTAATTACATTAACATGAACTTTCCTTATCAGTACTGATAACATCATAAAGGGTTAATAAGTGACCTCATAAACAGGAACGTCATTGACAGTTTATATTTTATATGAGACTCCATGATTTGACCATTATTACAAGGTCAAAAAATCTGTAAAATGTATTTTTGTACAAATAGAAGTTTTGATAAACTTAGTTTTTCATCTTATCCATTTCCTTTGATTTGATCTGTTTATTTCAGTTTGTGATTGTATAAAATGCTGTTCATCTTGTGTTCACAGCTCTCGTTCCCACACATTTTAAACAGTGCAGCCTCTGAAAGTGTCTGGTTTGTGCAGTCGTTCGGTGGTCTGTGCTCAGTGTGGTATCTGTTCTCCTCTCAGTGGTCTGACGCTTCAGTAAAGAGTATTAAAAACTTTAGAGGCCTCATGGTTCAAGACCACAAGATCATAAAGATGATTATTAATCAGGTCATGAACGTCTCGATGGGGGCTTTCTATCATCACAGCCACCTGTTTTCTCTGGTGTGTCTTTACACAACCTGTAAACTCTACATGTTCAGA